TCAGAAGGTGGTGAAGCGCCAAGAGGGGGGGTGTACATGGAGTGAAAAGGGGGTGTACGTCTAGGAATTAGGGGGTGTACGATTAGTAGTCCCCTTTTCGGAGAATGTAGTTTTCACTATTTCCAGTTACGCTTTATCCTCATGCTTTAGCACGCCATGTCGTCTCAACTTCGACAGCGCTGACCGCAAGATCAACCCAATCAAGCCTGCTCCATTTCTCAGGATTCTCAGATGCGTCAACAAAGTGCTTCAGCGCCAGAACGGCTTGGCTTGACCATATCTCCGCGCTTAAGCCGCCGGCCCCGGTGGCCAGCGGCGTCATAAGAATGCTCTGAATCTCCTCATCTATCACTGCCTCTCCCTCTCTATCCACTTTCTCCTTAGCCTCCCTGACACTGCGGTTATGGTTGTCAACCGCGCACAGCAGGCTCCAGACACACTCGTACACCACCTCGCGATCCCACGTCACGTTACTGGGCCTCCGCATCGTAGGGCACAGCGCGACGCGTTTCGTGCCCCAACTCTTCCCGCTGCGGCTCCGCGCTTGGAACTCGTCCGGGATGCGTACCAGAGTGCAGGTCCCGGGCGGCGCAAACCCGCGCCACTGGCGGTACAGCGTAGCCTGCGCAACGTGCGTGAGCGCCAGGTAGTCGTCTTTGGGCGAGAGGGCGCGAGAGATGGCGTCGTCAAAGGCGCCATCGAGGCGCCCGTACGAGTTGGCCGGCGATACGATCGTGTCAAACTTGACGTTGGATGGCAGCTGCGAGAGCGAGTAGTCGTGGATTGAGACTTGGACGGATGAGGGGAGCTTGTGTTTTTCGCAAGCAGCTAAGAATGCTGAGCTGAAGCGCTCCTCCGCGCATAGGAGTTGGATGTGCGGGGTGCGCGAGGGTGTGCTGGAAGCCATGCCCATGTGGTTGAGTATATCGTTTGCTAGCCGAGTACTCGATGTGTATAGTGCGCAATGCGTGACGCGCTCGGTGGCTGCTTTATCCATTGTTTTCACCTGAAGACTCATCAACAGGTTGCCGATAATGCGTGAATGGTGAGTGTTAGTTCGTGAGACGGATTAGCGACAGTGCCTCATTATTAACGATTGTGGAAGCCTAAAACGACGTGTGCTACCTGGGGAACAGATAGGGTGCTTACGCCAAGCAACCGAAACGAGAAACGGCTCAAATCTATGTATCCCCAATCAGGCCGCAAGTCATGATTCGCGCGGAAATGTTATACTCGTCACTACTTAAAGGACTATTAAGACTGTGCATAGCTAGAGCTAGACAATAATCCTAATGTTATAGAGTTAAATAAGAAATAGCTTCATAGGCTAATAATACAGTAGAAAGAGTAACATCATGAATCTATTGTTTGCCGAAAGATGGGTCACGGGTAACTTCCGAGAGAAATGTTAATACAGGTAACTGCATCAAAGACTAGCACAATATACGAGGATTGAGGGTAGAATAAGCGAACAGGGTTAGGCTTTAGTAGTATTAGATTTGTGTAAGAAAGTGCGTAGGATTGGTTGTCCAACCGTTGGGTTTACTAGGCTATGTAATTTTATAAGGAGACAAAGAAACAATAGTTACATACGAAAAAGAGAAGGCGCACAGGAAATCTTCCAGGATATGGCTTTCCTGCCTTCATACAATTTCGCTCTGCTGTGTCTGCTCTGCTCGTCTTATATTCACACTAGCAGTGGATATAGAAAGCTAATACCCCGGGTATTTATCACGCCATTTATTGTCATCAAGGAAACAAGTATAAGTTCCTCTCATGTCAAGTTGGTATAAGGAATAGGAAGGCGTAGTGTTGAAATAAACTGTAATTATAAGGCTGACTAAAGGCAAGAAGAAGATAACATGAATGAAACGTTCCAAATACGTCGATCCTGGTCACGAGATGAAGGCTCAAACTAGATGTATGTACATATAATTTGCATCACGATTGCTCCAGGCATCAGCGTGTATCTGACCAACTGCTAGGCGCTCGCAGAAGTGGGAAAGTTCCTCTTCGAATGCCACGAGCATTACGTTATACACGCTGCATCCATCATTATGGGAGTACCGAGTATGAAAGTGCTGAGCATCATATGCCGGGATAGAGAGCCCACTCTCGCTGAATTGGAGATGTTGAACATGACTAGTCTCCGAGATTAGAACCAGTCCGCACTCCCGGGATCGAAACGTTGATATATCCTCACTATCTACCCCATAGATGGCCCCGCAACATCGACCATGATGATCTCGCACTCTGACAATAGGATGCGCTATGTTGCATGGAAGTTTTCCAAGACGTGTAGGATTTGGAAAGAACATATCAAAAGTGAATTCGGTCGCTGCTGCAACGGGTCCCCAAAGGTGCAGCACATTCGTTCTCCCGCTTGGGTAATGGCAGAGTGGGGAGTTTGGTCCAGGAAGAGCCAAATCCGGAGCAAGAGCGATCGATTCTTTATACGTTACTTCAGCGCCAAGGACCTCGACGGCGCTCAAGACGATACATGTGTTCATTTTAGGCCGCTCGGTCCATTCCTCACCAGTAAGCATGATGTTGTAGTCGACGACCCCTTCCCATCCTATCCACGACCAGCTGGGGAACATGTTCAGAGGTTCTCTTTCGATATGCCGTCGCGCTTGGCCCGTAGGAACCCATATAAGCGACAGACCAAGGAGGGTGACCGGGATTCCGTAGAGAAATTGCCATCCGTTAGATAATCTCAAGGAATACAAAACACCAGTGATCGCGTTGAGTTTATCGGACGTAAAAGAAAGCGATTTGGCGGTGTACTCAGAAACAATTCGGGAATATGCGGGAAAGTCACCTCGCAAGGGACTTCGCAAGGGACTTAACAACCTAATGTCTTCATGGACATGCCCTCCCCGCCATCCATCAGTTGGAAGCCGACGCTCATAGCGGTCTTCACAATAGATGTTCGACTTGCATTGAAAGTACACTTGCTCTTTAGTGAAGTAGAGACACCTTCGGGACAAAAGCCTCTCTTGGAATGTCCATCCACGATCGTTATAGTACGAGCTGAAGACAACTTTAGAGAGCCTAGAAGGTCGGCGAGCGATGCGCAGTCTAGTCGTTTCGCCAATACTATCGAAAACTCGCGTGAAGGGTCGAACACCCGGGAGCCCTACGTTAGCATGGACGCCATCAACAGCGCAAATCGTTAAGTATGCGTTGTCATAAATGTTTGCCATGCGGGAAATCAGGTCATGCTTGACCTCTGAATCGTCCTGTACAATACATAGGGAATCTACCCATAAGTATCGTTCGCCGAGCTTATACACTACGGTCATGGCGTCTTTGATCACCTGGGGTAGAGAATCGGAGAGGCGAGTAAGTGATTCATCATCCGCGAGAGTTGCAATGTTGTTTTTAGTGAGCTCTAGCTGTGATATCTTGCCCCATACGTAGCTTAGAGCAAGATATCTAAAGCGGTGCCGAGTGGGATCTACTTGAGTGATGCAATGGCGATGAACGTCGATAAGCGTAACTTTGAAGTCTGTGGGCCACCTAGATGTAAGGGAAGTCCGAGAACAGCGGTGTTCTCGACTTTGATCACATTGCTGAACCCAGGTGCGAACGAGAGACATGTCGATCTGAGCCATGGGAACGACTCGAATTCGCCTGTTTCTTCTAAGGTCTGAAGAGGTTTGGTCGATCGTCGCTATACCATCCTTAGAATATATGATGATATTGTGGATGTCAGTAGTATTTGGCAGCGGCCCCTGCTTCCAAAACAAGGCATCGTCGATGATGAATCAACCGTGTACAATGAGTCCGTTTCATGATCAGCTATGCGCGCTGGCCGCCTCTGTCGGGAAAAAGAGGGTCGCTCCGTCATTGTTTAGACGAGTCGCAAAATGTCGAATTCCGAATATTTTATGCTTTGATAGCTTTCGAATGTCTGGAGAGCTCTAGTAAGTGAAGTTACGAGGAGTAACGAGGATGCGGAGTTAGAGCGAAATACCTCGGGTCTTTAGAATAGGCACGCTCCGCAATCCATGGACAGGTAGGAATAGGTCGTTATTTTCCAGACAACGTACTCCCATAAGGACTAGAAATAGCTGGCCAGGTATTATTTTATTGATACATGCAGTGGATAGCCAGTCAAGGAGTCGAAGAGCTTGGTGGTGAAAGTGAGATCGCTTGGTCGCAGGCTCCAGCTAAGCACAATCGGGCTGGCTTGATCCCCGCTGTACTAAATTCTTTACGGAAGAGTTGGGAGTGAAGTTTGACTATAAGAACCAGCAGTGACGAGCGAAGCAGGACGGAACTTCGCTACAGGCACTCTGATACTGCATGCCCGGAGTTGAAGCAGATCAAATGGAAGGTATTGGGGAGGCATAATGAGTGCTTTATGACGGGGAAGGCTGAAGAGCTGAAGCACTGCCATAGCCACAGCTTCAGGCAGACTTTCTAACTACCAGAGGCCTTAGCGAGAGTTACGGAGACTTTCCTTGATGATACCATAGCTATATGAATGCAGTTTCCAATTACCATGGGTTGTAATACGGTTCAACGGTAACACACATTGATGTGAGAGGTGATTTTTGCCAGTGCCACAAGTACCACGTGAGTACCTTATAAGTAGTTTTGTATGCCCAAGTGGCATGGTCTACCACTTTTTGGACGCCCTCGCCATACGCTGGCAATTCTTTGCCTTGATAAGTACAACATCACCCAAAATTCCCATCTACCCTCTTCAAGGACTAGGCCTGGACGTCCCTTCTCATTATCGAGTGCCCTCGTCATCACTGATATGTTTGTCCTTTAAGAGAATCTCGATGCAGCTCATAAGTCGACGACCCTGATAACACCTCAATCTTTCTCCGGGCATCTGCATAACTTGATCATGGTCCCGGGTGAGAGTGCCGAAGAGTATGATGGACTCCTAGAGAGACCACTAGAACGCTCAGAAGTACAGGAAGGTGTGCGAAAATCCGGAGGTTCTTCACAACGAGCTATATGGACTTTGCTACTTCTTCTAGTCTTCACGCATATGGCTAATCGGCTTTATGATCTCCCGCTGAACCGCGTCATAGAAATGCGGTTATGTCAAGACCATTACACGCAACATGATCCAAACAAATTAGGGCCTGGTGGTTCCGTGCCGGAAAAGCTATGCAAGATTGATCAGGTACAGCAAAAGCTGGCGTGGCTACAAGGTATCATGGAGGCAACTACGATCACTTGTGGTACGTATAATGTATGACCTACCTTCTCAAATAATCGTAACCTCATACTTTCAAGACTTCATTGTGACGATTCCATTCAGCTTCCTGGCGGAGAAGTTTGGCGTTCGACTCGTGCTGTGGCTCAACATGGCTACCCGACTCTTCATGTGCTCTTGGGTTCTAATCGTAGGTAAGTACCAAACCTAGTGAGCGTTAAGGTACATTACAATTAAACCCTTCTTAGGCAACTTTGATCATATATTCCCAACAAAAGCCATTATCGCGGGTCCATTTCTGAGCATTCTTGGTCACGAATGTGTTTTCTCATCCACTGTATACGCGCTCACGGCAACATTGACTCGAGAATACGTACAAAGGTATCCCGCCCCTTGTATTTGGGTATGGACCAGGGCTTGGGCTAATGCCGAATCGAAAGCGCTTCCTACTTTTCATACATAGGTGCGAACATACCCCTACGACCGTGCTATGTACACTAACAAGAATCAAAAACAGGCTCCGCAACCTACGTCGTTTCCTTCTTGGGCCCATCGCTAGCTTCCGTCACTATGAGTCAGAGTCTTTGGTTGCCCTTCTGGATTGCAATCGCTCTGCTACTATTGGCAAGTTTAACGATCTACTTCCTCCCGGAAAAAACACAGACTCCCGTCAAGCCTCCTCTTGTTGTCGACGAAGACGACGCAGAGGCTGGCCCTCTCCTGAGAAACAGACCAACGAGCCCAGGCAGTTACGCAAGTGCTCTCGGAACCCCCAAACCATTCTTCGTCCGCATCATATACACAGTGAGAGCGCTTGCACGATTAATCATCGGCCGGCGTAACTTCCAAATCATACTAGCATCCTATTTCCTGACCAATCTTGCAAGCTCTGACACTAGGTTGCTCGTTCAATACATCTCGGCACGATACGAGTGGAAATTCGCACAGGTATGATGGTCCAATATCTACCACCTAGCTAGCACTGAACTATCTGTCCATCTTCTTAGGCCGGCTACCTTCTCTCCGCCAAAGCCGTCATCAATATCGTCCTCCTCACCATCGTCGTCCCTCGAGTTATCCGAGCCTCGATGACCAACAAGAGCATTCACGGCTCTGAAAACCGTCTCAACTTCCTGGGCGTAGAGTTTAGTATTCTCGTATCTATCCTCGGGGTATTATGCATTGCGATGTCTTTCAAGATCTGGATACTCTTAGCTTGTAAGGAGTCTCCTTACAACCCCTGATTCTTTCGTACGATTCCACTGACGTTTCAACAAGCTCTCATGATATATGCCGTGGGCTCGGCCAATTCCGTCTTTTTATACTCTCTGGTCAAGTCGCCGCTTATTGCGCTCCAAGATGAGACAACGCATGCGCAGGACTTTAGTATCGTCATGCTAACAAGGTCGCTTGGTGCTCTCGTTGGAGCTCCTTTGATGACCCTGTTGTGGGTACAAGCCATCAGGATTGGTGGTGCTGGGCTGGGACTGCCTTATTTCATATCCGCAGTAAGCAAAATATCTAATTCTCGTGGTCTGGATTTTGGAGCTGACTAGCTGGGTAGTCTCTGTATCTTGTCGCAGCCCTTGTAGTATCCCAGCTGCGACTTTGAACTCTGTTATTTGTCGTCGTAGCCATAAATGCCAAGTCGAGTGATCACTCATACTCGCCCTTTGAGGTACTGTGCCTTGCCATAGATATCCGTACACTTTTCTGCCACTTTCTGTGGGGCTTCAGCGTAATAATAGAAACCGGGAGCAGCGGATACACTTCCAATCTGTGTGGACCCCGTTAACGCTGTCTGGGGTAGCCTCACAAGTTTACTAGTTGTCTGAAATGCCCAACTTCTCTCTCATTCGGAATGCTTGATATTACTGCGAAGCTCCTCACTAAGTGGTAAAGGGGTGTACGGATTTCTATGACGAGGTACAGTATTCGTCTTTTTCTCGGACTAGGTTTCTTCACGCGAGGACGATTACTTGAATAAAACACATTCGTCGCACGCGCAATTACATCTATCATATGAAGGATCCTGACCATCTACAGAGTACTATCGAGGGTGCTTTGACACGTTTCCAACCCGTCGGCTGGCCATCATCTTTTTGGTCCAAGAAATCCTTCCAGCCTTGCCCTATCTGTCTCCACCAATCCAACTCTCGCGTCCCAGCTCTCCCAAACTTCGCGACTATAATACTTCGTCCACAGATCCTCGAACAGTATTTGCGGATGGTGCGATACCAGGCTCGTGAAAGCGGCGAGGTCAAAGGCGTCACTTTTGGCGGCCTCGAAATGGCTATCCCGTCGCGACCGCATAAACGCAGCTGTGAAGACCTGGATCCAGAATGCCCTTTGTGTTAGTCCCGGCATCTGTAGGCTGGTAAGGGTCGATAACGCTTCCGAGGCGGCAGCGGAAGGAGTGCGAGAGGGGTTGGAGAAAAGGCCGAAAAGAACGTAGAGGAGGTATGCGTGAGTAGTAACCTCTGGTATCTTGTCAGTAGAGACTTCCTGCGACTTCACGATTTCTTTGATCTGGCCGAGGATGAGAGCTTTGCGGAGCTCGATGTCGTCTCTGCTCTTTTCGCTGGAATTCGCTTCCACTATGATCCAGTCTTTTTCGTCCCCTTCGCCTTCATCGTGGGGTAACGAGGGGCTTTGTGTTTTGGTCTCCTCGTCTAAAAGGTAATTCACAGCTCGCGGTATACTCCCACTTTGCGAAATCCCAATCAGGTTTGGCAGCGGTCGAATGTCGGGATTCTTGAACTCCATTCGCGCAGGCACTGAGTGCCATACTTCCGCTGTGTAGTATTTTTTCCACAAGTTCTCGTCCTTTAAGTTTGGGAACAGCGACGAAAATGTCTCGAAGGTCATCTTGGCTAAAGAAGGCTTCTTCTCCACATTGATTGTGGGAAGTGTGGAAGAGTAGGAAGATGTCTGGAAGGTTGGTAGTCCTGCGACGGCAGCGTGGGTGATCTGAATCCAGAATAATGCCTGAGTCTCGGAGTAGGGTGGCACAGATGAATCGGTAACTCGTAGCTGGAGGGTCATCGAATGCAGAGCTCGCAAGGTCTCTTGGATGATTAGGCCGCGACGTTGGTTGGTCGTCATGTACTCTCGGACAACAAGGAAACCAAAATGGGCGAGGCGGTGATTGTTTGTCGCATCCTGGACTTCACCGGAGGCGGGTTTGGAAGCTTGAGGGCGGGCACTTGGGGCTTTGGGGATATAGTCTGGCAATGGGGCGAGATCAGGGAGGCACCAATTTTCCTTCGCTTCTGGGCTGAAAAGGAGAGATTTCGTGTAGTGGGATTGCCATATACGGCCATTCATCAGAGATGGCGTATACAGTAGGACCTGCTGGAAGACTTCTGCGCTCGGCAAGGTCCCATGGTTCACCTCATCGCGATACCTGACAATAGCGAGACGAATATGATGAAGCCAGAAAATGGTCATAGTCCTGCACATTCCAGAGTTAGTAGAGTTCCAAATTCTAACCATTTCTTCCTAAAAGCGACTTACCGGTGTTGAGTATTCGTGAACCTTTGCGGATTGCTGTTTCTCAATTGCTCCAGTTGCTGAAGAAATATTTCAACGGCATCCCAAATTGATCCCATCTTCGAGAGAATGTCTAAGTAGATTAGATACCCAGCTTTTAAATGACTTCGGTGATCCCATGCCGGTAGTTGTGCGGTACTAAGCAGCTTCCAGAACTCGCCTGCGGAAATGTCGGTTAGCCCTTCACTCCCAATCCTGGCTCTGAGTTCTTCATCGGTCGGCATTTCAGTCGTTGAAGCGGTAAGTGATTTCCCCGGACGTTTTTCTTGCTGCTGTTCCAAAGTTGTGTGAATCTCTTCGAAGATTTGCCAGACGTGATCATCCTCAAATAGACTAAGCCCTGGTTGACTGAAGACCTTCCATTTCAAAAACCGTGGCAAAGCCCTGAGTCTAGACTCATACTCCTCTTTTATTTTCCTGACGGTCTCATCTCGAGTTTCGGGCGGTAAGAGGTCCTGCTTCGCCAACACAACCCAGAAAAACTGTCCACCGGCATCAAGAAGCTGCTTTGCGTGCAACTCCAGCAGCTCGAAAGAAAAATCACGGCTCCATTCGTCATCCGCCGCGACATCTACCAGAAATAGTACACCTGACTCCGAGTCCAGGAGATGGCGGGCGAGAGGAGCAATCTTGTCACACCCCCCGAAATCCCAGAAATTGATCACTTTCTTCCCCAGCTCAATGGTTTCGCAATTGAACCCAATAGTTGGGATAGTGGTTAGGACTGCGCCTGTTTTGAGCTTGTATAGCAGTGTCGTTTTGCCAGTCCAGCCTGCGCCGAGAAGAACGCATTTGTGGTTGGTAGGGCGTCGCCAGTGGACGAGCCTGGACAACATGATACCGGCTGTGGATGCACTGAACTTTGGAAGTGAGGTTGGAGATGGTGTGGCTTTGTTTTGTCACCAATTGGGTGCGCTTTTGGGAATATTGTGGAAGGGCTGGAGAGAGACAGGAAAGGAGGAACCGACACAGCAAGAGACGGGAAGAGAGAAGAAAATCGATAATCTTGAATACAGTGAACGGGTGACTTTATATACACGCTGTGTGCTTGCTAGGCTACAGCTGAAATGTGTCTCCTTTGCTACTCTCGTACTTGTGGCTGAAAGCTGGAATCTTCGAGGTATCAATTCGGTAAGTCCTTGCTTTATGCGGCTGTGAATCGACTGCCTGATACCCAAGAGTGAAAAGACGTATCATAGGCGTTGGGAACAGTCATCGAACCGATAGAGGTGTATGGGGATTCAGAGGATGATATTGTGCCGGACGACACCAACACTTAGACGGATTAGCCCAACGTGCTAAACAGCGTTCAACGCTTGCTATTGTGATTATGGTCCCGCAAATTGTCTTTTCATCTTCAACTGGAGGATGAGAACTTCAAGGCTGAAGTGGTGATGCTGACATGTGACCGCGGCGAATGCGTCATCCCGGGCACCACCTAGGCAGCTCCAACGTACCACAGCATCAGCAAAACTTGCCGAGATGGGCCAAGGATCCTCAGCAGATAGCCATCCGCTTTCCTTAGGTACTTAATGCCCCCACGTTTCATACGCTCATAGTAGCTATCCAAGCTATAGTTTGCGTCTTTAACACCTCCATTACCTACTAAATACATCCAGAACAGCTCAGTCACGATCTCGCCCATCGCTTTGCCCAGAAATGCTACACCCCTCTCGAGCTCTACTGCTTCAACTCCGTCTTCCGATCCCTCGCAGACTCTGAATCTGGAATTCGATACTGGAGTGAAGCTACACTATGCCGCTTCCTGGAGCTCCCAGACGCGCTGGGCGTCGGCTCTGTTGTCTTCCATATGGCCAGCTATCTTGGCGCGTTCCCGTTCCCTAGCCAGGCTCCGGCGATCCTTACGGCCGAAGCGATGTTGAAGGTGGTTACCATACTCACGGAGAGGTACGGTTCTGTGATAAAGAGACGAGGGCGTGAAATGTGGTTGAGGGAGCTATACCGAAGCTTAGCTGTCTACGATCGAGGACTGGGCTCTCGATCTGGAGACGCAGAGAAGGAAAGCAGTCTGGAAAAGTCTGGGAACGAGGCAGGCGTGCCAAATATTGGAGGAGGCAGCAGTCAAGGCTTCGCCGTAGATCAGCCTATCGATGACGACGAGGATGAAGATGAGGAAGATGAGCTGATTCTAGCAGCACTGGACTCAATGGATGCTACAGAAGTGTTCAAGCACGGCGAGACATCGAATGTACATCACTCGATAATACCAACGGATAATTTCCTGAAAATGGTCGAGCTACTGCTTCTTATCGCCCCAATAGACCCTCAGCAAAGCTTGTCCACTCTCGCGCCTGAGATATCTGACAAGCGTATCTCTGGACTGAGGAATACTGCCAATATGATACTCTCGTCTTTTGGCGTGGAACAACATCCTGGCGTCACTTTCAAGACCTTCACGGCTGTAATCTCGTCATCACTGCCGTATCTCTTCGATGGCCTAAATCCCTTATTCGAACACTTCCTTTTCGCAAAGGACTTTGATCTGTCCAAGCGCAAATCTTCTACAGTACCAAAAGTCCCAGAGGTCGCCCCTGTAATTCCAGATAACCTGCCTCTACCTGAGCCTATACTCAGAGAAGCTGGCGAAATCCTGGATCTTAACGTTCTCAGCCAACTCTCATTCTTCATCAAAGGCACAAATTTGTTCCGGCGTCTGCGCCCACTGTATTCTGGTAACAAAGCTGGCTTTAGTATGGGTTCCTTCGAAAAAGCCGTCTTCAACTGGCGAGCCCCGTCCCTCCTCCTCGTATCCGGCACCCTTCTCCCAGCCAGTCCTACAAACGCACGAGAGCGTACCTTATCCGACTCTTTACCCCCAGCACGTCTTCACAACAGCATCGCTCTCACCCCTTCCCTAAACGCAGAAAGCACTACGCTGACATTCGGCGCCTATATCCCCGGCCACTGGAGACAAAGCCACAAGACCTGCTTCGGCGACCCCGGAACCACCCTCTTCCAACTAGCACCCACTCACGACGTGTTTCCAGCTTCCCACTTTAGCACCGACTACATCTACTTCAATAAACCGCCCACACGGCCTTCGGGTCTTGGTTTCGGCTCTGCACTACCGCACCAGACGCAGTCACTTCACGGGCAGGGCGGTGCACTACACATACCCCTCGGCCCAGTATCCTTGCATCTCGACGACGCGCTCGAATTTGGTATCTTCACGCACCTTGCCTCAGGCGGTGGATCATTCCACACATCGCAGCTACCTTGCCGTAAAAACAAAGATTGGCAGGATAGGTTCGAAATTGAGTCGTTGGAGGTTTGGGGATGTGGTGGAGATGAAGAAGCAGAAGCGCAGAGGAAAGAGTATGCGTGGCAGGAACGTGAGGCTGAGAACCGGCGGAGAGTCAATCTAGGAACGGGAGATATCGATGCGGATCGGGAGTTGTTGAAGATGGCGGGACTGATTGGGGGTGGTATGAGTGGTGGAAGTGTTTGATAGCTGGTCTACAAGAAGGCTTTTAGGTTCATCATAGTAGTGGGAAGTTTGGGCCCTGGATCTCTGAGACGATGGCGATGAATAATGACAACGATTGATCAAGGCTTCTTGGGACACAAATTGTGGATGTACACGCAGCCTGCAACCAAGCAAAGAGTTGTATTTTACAGTCTCCATCATCATTCGATGGCCCAACGCCAGTTATGCTACCTAGACATGTAATATAATACACTGGTCCACCTCCGCCTACACTCTATTCCTCATATTCGGCTCAATCTGTTCTCCTTTATCCTTGCCTATATCCAATTAGCGCCGCCTCTTTTCATACTCCAGACTTCACACATACCTCTGCTTGTGCTTTGGATTCTTATCACAAATGATGTACACGTACTTCCCGCCCTTCCTTCGTACACTCTGTGACATACGTTAGCACCCACGTCCACAACCACCGCCACACGCCCTCTATACAGATAGCAAGTCTGTCGTACCTTACACCCGTCACAAAGCTTCTTCACCGAACTCCGCACCTTCATCCCCCTCGTCTGACCAAACACCGCCGACACGGCTCCCGCTCCAGTCCTTGCGGTAATGCTCGGGCGCCATAGTGATGTCGAGGTCGAGATTGCGCGTGTGGTAAATAGGCGGGAGAAGGGTGCGGAGGAGGGCGCGAAGAGGGTTTGGCGGAGGGGGAGGAGGAGGAGGAGGGGGAGCATTGTCGCTAGTAGTTCGGGGCGTTTGGTGGTAAATGGGTGGAGAGAGGGTAGTTGGAACAGTGCTGGCCCTCTGGCGGCGCGGGCGATGCGTGATGGTTGAACGTCGAGATGAACGGATGATCGACCGTGATGTCCAAAATGCCAAGGCGAGAAACCCAGAGTCACGTGATATGGACAGCCAACTTGTGCTTGAAACCCAAATTTTGGTCCAAAGTTCGCTTAGTTAGTCCTCAACACTCTGTAAACTTCAGAACCTTCCCTTCCTATCCCGGAAGCACGTGCACGTGACCTGCGACTTCAATCACCTCTGTTAGAAACGCTGACCGTCACCTTTACTCCTAACATCACTAGTGTAAATATAAGACCGCACTCGCTGTTCCCCCAGTCTCTTACTTCATACAAAACTAATACAGGGTTCGAATTTCACCACGGCATAATCATCAACAGCCAACTGCTATGAATGTGCCCTCCACTCCCGAGTCGAGAGACTCTCCCTTGCTCCGCCTGCCGAACGAACTTCTCATCGAGATCTTGACTCTAGCAGTTGGCCGAAAAGACATGGCGCTAGACGATGACCAAAGCAAAGACCACAAAACCGCATGGTCTCTCACCCTCGTGTGCAAACGTATCAGTGGGATATCGTATCCCCTCCTCTACCGCACCATCGACTTCATGTCTCCCACCCTCGAAAGCCTCATCCCAATGTCCCGTGCAGGCAGACTTCTCTCAAGATCGCTTTGTGCAAATCCCGAGCTTAGCGCTATGTGCAGGGAACTCGTAGTGTGGATCCCCTCTATTGAAAGCGGCTATAGCCGCGATTCGGACTACGAAGCAGCTACTACCCTCCTGACCCAGCTCACAAACATCCAGAACTTCCAAAGCTTCAACGGTCTCCAGAACTCCGACAGCGTATGGCGGATGCTCGACCAGATCTTCCCCCACATGCCGCGCATCACTGACCTCACCATGAGCCAAGACTACATCCCAATCTTCATGGAAAGACTATTCAAACCTGACAACCGCTTTCCAGCTCTCCGCCGTCTGCACATCGTTGGCTGCCTCGCATTCTCATCCAGCAACATCCACGACGCGGTCTGGCTCAAAGACCGCATCCCCCCCATCATGGACCTCAACATCCACGACTTCAGAGGTAGCTCGCAAGATTTCGCTGCCTTCCTCAGCTGGCTGGAGGCACTTGAGAACCTTACATTTCATCCAGACAAGGACGCATGGTCCTTGTCGCTGTTTCAAGGGTTCCTGGAACCTCACCGCTCAACATTGAAAAGCCTGTACATCGGAGATCAAGGCAACGTGGACAACCGCCTGGATCTGACAGGCTACCCCAAACTAGAAATCCTCAGCCTCCCCGCTCTTGCTCACCGCGAAACCCTTGGTGACCATGCTTTGCTCCTGGCTGCTCCGAAGCTGCGCAGCTTCACGTGGCACTTCGGTATCGAACAGGACCTCAATTCCCTAGACTCGTTCCAGAAGTCAGAGGCAGACGCACTGCGTACGTTCGTAAAGACAGTGCTCGCGTGCGGGTGTCCGCTGAAGCTGGTGTATATCTGGTTTCTTGCCAACGCGCAATTTTCAACGCCGATTGCGAGAGAAGGCGCCGAAGCTACGGAGCTGGCGCTTTCGATGAGGTATCCTTGGGACTGGATGGATGAGCTGCGAGACGAGTTTGAGGAGTGGGGAGTGCTATTGTCGTATGATCCCCCTTTCGACGAGCCAAGGAGCGTTACTAGAGAGCAATATGAAGAAGAGTTTCGGCGGTGGACATCGTTTAGTGGGCACGAGAGTGATTTGTGACGGACCCAGACACCATGGACTTGAATGAATGCGGCTGTTGCCACACGCACACCACCCCTTTTTGATAGGCTCTAGAGTATCGCGAGGCAAGAGAAGAAGAAGCCGTAGAGCGAAGCTGATGGAATGAAATACGGATACTTGCTTAGTGGATACATCTATTTCCGTTACCTTGGGGCTAGGACTTAAGGAATCGCCTGCGGTAGCTAGAATTCAAGCAAGTAATAGGGCGGAGGAAAATCACTAAGTCTGAGTACTACGATGTTCATGGGAGTTTGATACTCTCAAGCTGCGGCAATCTGAAGGCTCACAGGCTCTGAGAAAAGCCTTCTACGTATGGCTAAATGAAACGTGATGGTAGCTACGCAATTGCGCCATCAATTCACCCGTCAAGCGATTGAGCCCAATAATGAACATTGGCAAAGTTGGTGTGGGCGTGACTCGATGATTTATGGAGCAGGGGAGAAAGCTTCTGCCAGGGCAGAACGCTTTGCCGACTCTCACGTCCTCCGAGCCCACCCTTCTCCACACCACGTTCATCCGTCTACAAACCCAACGCCAGCCCACAATGGCTTCTCTACAAACTTTGCAAACTCTTAGACCCTTGGCCCCACACATTCCCTCCTCCATATCCTCACCATGGACGCTTTTGAATACAACGCCAACCCAGCCCGCGTCGTCTTCGGCAGTGGCAGCATTCAAAAGCTCCCAGCAGAACTGGGCCGCCTGAACGTTTCCGCGCCATTGCTCCTCAGCACCCCTCAGCAGACCGATCAAGCAGATGTCCTGAAAAAGATCCTCAATGGCAAGATTGCAGGCCTCTTCAGCGAGGCTACCATGCACACGCCGACGCACATCACGGATAAAGCGCTCGAGTACACCAAGGCGCAGAAAGCAGACAGCATCGTGTCAATTGGCGGCGGCAGCACGATTGGGCTGGGGAAAGCCATTAGCATAAGAACCGGCTTGCCACATGTCTGCATCCCGACGACGTATGCGGGCAGCGAGATGACCCCGATCCTCGGGGAAACGGCCGACGGCCGCAAGACGACTCGCACTGATCCCAAGATCCTCCCGGGGACGGTCATCTACGACGTGGACCTCACCATGACGCTGCCCGCGGGGCTGAGCTCCACGAGCGGCGTCAATGCCATTGCACACGCGGGTCCGTACCCTTCTCCCCTCTCCTTTACAACCGTCATGGCTAACCCCACGTAGTCGAAGCCCTCTACGCCCGCAACACCAACCCCGTCGTGAACCTCCTCGCCCTCGACGGTATCCGCGCGCTCGCCTCCTCCCTCCCGATCCTCGTAAAAGACCCCTCGTCCGCCTCCGCACGCTCCTCCGCCCTCTACGGCGCCTGGCTATGCGCGACTTGCTTAGGCACCGTCGGCATGGCGCTGCACCACAAGCTCTGCCACACGCTCGGCGGGTCCTTCAACCTCCCCCACGCGGAGACCCACACGATCGTGCTGCCCCACGCGCTAGCGTACAATGCGCCTGCGATTCCGGAGGTGATGGCGAAGCTGGCGGCGGTGCTGCCGGGGAGCGAGGGGGACGCGGTGCAGGGGCTGAACGTGTTGCTGAAGAGCCTGGGCGTGAAGCGGGCGTTGAAGGATTATGGGATGAAGGAGGAGGATGTGGAGAAGGCGGCGGAGATTGCGGTGTCGAATCCGTATTACAATCCGAGGCCGGTGGAGAGTGAGCCGGTTAGGGAGTTAATAAGGAGGGCGTGGGCGGGGGAAGATGCGAGGGTGTTGTAGATACAGTCGTAGAAGACACCATTCTGAACTGGTATCTAGAAAGCGGACTGGCTTCCGTTTATGCTTTTTAGTATTGTCCCATTTCCATGGTCCAATTGCCAATCTCTTCCAATAATATGCCAAAACCAGCCCCAAATCGCACGGACTGGCTCCCCTTTATACATCTTGAAGCACTGTAATCTCCCCCGATTCCGAGATCTGATTCAGAGTGTAGCGGATACTACATGTTAAAAGAGACAGAAAATCAGGTCGAGCGTCAGGAGGATGCACAAAGGCTCGCTATATTAGGACCTATATCACACTCTCTTGACTTGGGTTCTAAATGCCGGACTAGCTCCCATTCTCACAACGTTTCAAGGTAGACTCGAAGGTTCGATTTAGCGCGCTCGTCAATAACATGCCGAAATCGACTGGAGATCGCACGGACTGGCTCCCGTTCATACATCTCAACGCACTGTGATTTACCTCGAGTCTATGGCCTGGTTTAGCGTGTCAGAGACTTGGCATGCCGAAAGAGAGTGGGAATCGAGCGGATATAATTCGATGGTCCAGTTTGGGATGCGATGCAATATTACGCCAGAACAGTGAGAATCGCAGGGCCTGGCTCCTCTATATGCTTCTTGATGCTATGGAAGTTACCTTGATCGCGGGGTTTAGTGGAGGGAGACTCAATAGCGAATTCTTAATGTTAACCTGATCCCTTACCGAGTGACCACGATCTAGATAGTTGTTAGGTATAAACTTCAGTTTAGGTGGATTGTTTCATAATTGGTCTGATGTTGCAATATGTGTGATTTGAATAGTTATCGAATTTGTAGTAGTGGGGTATAGGGTAAATCGCTTTAAAAGAGTAAAGAAAGAGTCGTTCGTAACCTCGTAACAGTGTTCATAGCCGTCGGTAACCCAACGGTAGTTGTGATGCCGCAGTATAGACAGATTTATGTGCAAGTATTTGCAGTGCTGCATCTCCCATCCCTTCTCAGATCCCTACCCTCCAGTTCCTGCGCTAGATCCCAAAGCCTTACGAAATTGCTAGCGTCGGCTGAAGCTTAGACGACGTAGTGGCTCCTCCTGCTGCTGTGGTGCGATCGTCGCGGGCTGCGGGAAGAGGGACCGCGCTGGGTGCGACGAGAAGTGTGGCTGCTTTCGCGCTTGACTACGACACGGTCGTCGCGGTGATGACGGTGGACGAGGAGAGCGAAGAACTACGGCTTGTTAGTAAGATGGTCGATTTACAAAGCATTGGGTTCGAACTTACGAAGGTGAATGCAAAGAAGATGCAATTCATGATTCCAAACGCCCACGACGCCTTCAGCATGGCGCAGTTCTTGTTTGTATTGACTGCCCACTTGTTCCCGGAGTTGCGTCCAATGTACCCCAACGGGCCCAGATCGAAGTAGAAGCCGCCAGCCGTGAAATGGGTGCAGTTGGCTTTGCCGATGCCGCGCAGCTCATACACGCCGGCAATGAAGGCGCCGATGAAGAGCAGGTCGACGAATGCGACGAAGCTGGCCGAGTGCCTCGCGCGGGCGTACAGGAACAGCGTCCCGACGGTCCATGCTGCCCCCAGCACTGACACTATGAACAGCACCAGGATGGAGGCGGGTGTGAGTGAGTTCGACTCCGTGTAGGCATGCACGAAGTAGGACAGCATGCCCAGCGTCGGGATCAGGGTGATGATCTCCATGATGCGCCAGAACCAGAACGAGAAGCCTGCGATAGACATATTGGCGGTAGCGAGTGGTACGCTGGGGTCTCAGGGTCTGGATGGAGATGCGATGGTGGGTCTGATCGACGTTGACCACGGTTGGGTGACGATGGCAGCGGGGTCGATCGGCGAGGAAGAGAGAGCTGCGCGATGAGCGGGCGGGAGGAGTGGCAGGTAGCGCCTTATACTGCAGGAAATTGCGCAGGTAGGAGGCGCTGGAGGAGGCTGGGAGCTCGACGAGATTGAGTGTCCAAGGCGACGTTGGCAAGGTTGTCGGGATGGGAACTTGGTTTAAGGTGCTCCCAGGCCCACGGAGCAAGTTTGCGGGGCAGGAGAGGGCTGGGAGCCCCCGCCACATGAGCCGGGCACGTGACCGGTCTCCAGCCACCCGGCTCCCAACCTCCACGACGCCACACCGGCCCTGCGACGCAAAAGCAACACAACACCCCACACAGCGTCGCCAGGGTCAATTCGTCCATGCTGGGCTGCCTCGCCAATGCAGAATTGGACGCGGGGACGTGCCCTGCCGCATTGGGGCGAGGAGGTCTCTCATTTGCCTTCCCCCCCCTCTTATATGCTCATGATCGTCCTCATCATTCATGCTACTCAAAGATTTGCAGGATAGTCGTTTTTTTTAGCCGAGTGTTAATACTTTCATTATGTACTCCCCCCCGTCGCCTATCTGATGGGATCCTTAAATCCGCCGACCGTTGGACATGCACTCCTTTCCCCCTTGTGGCCCGGGCGACCTGCCGCCTGCATTCACGCCATTCGTTCCGCCGGCATCCCGCGCCAGCAGTGCACTGCTCGATGCTCGATACCCCGGTGCGGATCGGTTAGTAGCGCTGGCTGCTTTGCTCCTTCTGGCGGCCGCCTGCTTGTTTCGACGTGCCGTGCCTGCTAAGACACTCTCCCAGTGCGTACTTCTGCAGTGCTGCAGCTACCCAGCATCGAGGATGGCGGTTAGTGTATCCCCTCGTACTCGTCCGGGCCTGTACAGAGAGCGCATTGCATTCCATGCAGGCCAAGGGAGCAAGACGGAGGGTTAACAAGGCTGCTTACGCCTTACCTCGGGCCCAAACCGAGTCCCCCCGGCGGCCAGGGCCCATGCTATCGCAGCGGTCGAGGCGTTCGCGACCCCCCCTTGGCCGCGGCGAGTGCTTGGGGGCGCTGACTCTTGGCAAACGATGCGTGAGTCTTGTGTGCCTTCTCCGTCCCCGAAACACTTCCACTTTGAAGACAACTCACCATGCCCCTGTGGCGCCCGGCGGAACCTGCGGGCTAGGTGCCATCCGCGATGGTCACGATTTTGATGTCCTTTTCGCGGTAAGCAGGCGGCGTTGACACCGAAAGCAGTGTCGCGGCACCGGCAGAGGGGCCTTATCAGAAGACGGCGGGTGCGAGATGGTCAACCGTTACCGCGTCTTCGGGCCCAAGCGCTGTTCCAAAAAGCTCTAATGCATACAAGGATACTCCAGAATATTTCATTTAACAGCTTACCACCTCACTGATGTTCGGCCTGCCCTCTCTGCCCCCCTCCCCGCTGTCCTTTAAAATATGTCATGGTGAAGGTTGCGTATCTTCGCTGTCTAGCAACCTGGCCGGAGCGGACAGTGCCAAACAACTTTATTATCTGTGTGCATTCAGCCCTCCGCCCGTGTACTCCCCGACTTCCAATCAAATCAGCCCGGGGCCTCACCACCGAATGAAGTGCATATAGACTCAGGAACGTGTCACAGCCGCGCAAGCTTCCGTGCGTCAGCTGAGATCTCCCTGTCCATCCTCTCGTCGTCTCTTTCTGTCTGTCGCCAACTCTCCAAATTTCTGTGCCTGATTGACCATGTCCGCACGGGGCGCCCGAAGCCGCAAGGCTGTTGCCAAAGACATAGAGAAGAAAGAGAAGAAAACCGCCGCGAAACAATATGCCGACTCGTTTCCTCGTCCCGGAACCGCCTTTAGCAGCTGGGGCGGCTACGACTCTCCGCAACCACAGACCAGCCATACTTCGCGCGCCGTGTCGCAGATCACGAGTGCCTCTTCTTTGCCTTCGACGAACCTACCCATGAGACCCTCCCGGACCGGCACCACCACTTCGTCTACCTCCGGCGACTTCAGGCCCTTCCACCGTTCCACCACCTCGTCTTCCAACTCTATCTCTACTACCTCCTCCGCGAAAGAAAAGGCCAAGTATACGGCTAAAGGGAAAGAGACCAAGGCTCCAAGAGGACGAGGAGGTGGCGTTCCGATCAAAAAGGGCGGCTCTGCGCCGCCCTTCTTGGGAAGAGCCAACTCATCCTCTAGAGCGGATTCATCCTCATTCCTCGCTGGTGCAACGGACAGAAGCTGGGCAAACTTCACCATCTGGCATGGAAATGATCATGGCGTCCGCCCCTATCGCGGCTTCCAATATGTAAGTTACTCTGAAGGGTGCATTGTAAATCTCAGCAGCTCATGATTTACAGGACGAAGAAATGCAAAATGGAAGCGTGTTGATATATTTCAAAGAGGAGCAAGCCAACGACGATAACCCACAGCCCCAGCTTCGCGTTCGTTACGACGCGCTCGAGTCTTCAGGGTCTTCTTGGCTTACGAATCAACTAAGTTTCGGTGCAATTGACTCTTTTGAGGATGAAATGACACCTCCCATGAGTCCCGAATCATCGACTTATGGAGCTCGCTACTCGAGTCTGAATACAAATTCAAGGTATCTTCCGGATGGGATAGACCCAGGACACCTGTCTTCCCAGGGCTTCCAAGATCACTACATGCAGGCGCCACCTACTCGATCCTCATCAAGGAATGGAGGATACTATTCCGCGGATTCTAGAGGCCGCCGTAACGTGCAGAATGGCGCCAATGGCCCAACGCCCCCGGCTTCTACAGCCGGGAGCTCCCAAGAGACTGGATCGTTCTATGATCGCGAACCAACTCGGCCGACGCATGAGATTTGGTTCACAGCACCAGACCATATGCGGTCTGTTCAAGATCAACGGTTGCATCATGTAGCAGTGCGCAATTTTTTGGCCATTTTGCAGAACCAGCCAATTGTGGGCAGAGATTTATTCGAGATGCTTTCGACACTGCAGCCGGAGATTGAGGTCATGTACGACCTTGATCACAATGAGCATTCCCAGACGAGCGCTCGAATGCGGAGTGTCCAGATGATTACCCAATACCTGTCTAGCCGGAAACTTGACGACTTGAGAAACAGTCGTCGACGTGCACTCAGTCTATTAGCATGGGCGGAGCAAGACACAATCAGATGGGACGCTGGGTACATTGAATCGTTTGTTCACCTTGTTGGCATGATGGGCCCCGATGTTGAAGCAATGCCTGAATTCAGGCGACTATCGCCCGTCACCAGGCGGAACCTAGGCATGTCTGCTAATGCATTAAAATTAAGGACCCTAGAAGCTGAGGAGAGGTTATCTACGTTCGATTTTTCCGACATGTGGGAGGACCCAAAGAATTCTGCGAACAACCCAATTTTCAAGAGCTTCATAGCGTTTCGACAGTTCCTCCTCAATTTCTTCGTAGAGGCGTATGGAGCGTGGCCGCCAAGCCCCAACAAAGGATGGCTAAAACGGAAAGCCATACAAAGTCTACAAAACGACTTTGGTGCTTTATACGACTACCTCGTAAACCGCGAAGTCGTCTGGGACTCACAAGAAGAAAGACCTGGAAAGAAATGGCAAATGAGCAATCAAGACCCAGAGGAAGAATTCCAGGCTGATTCTGCCGACTTGCCTCTGACTGATATGCTGGTCGGCTTCGACAACAGACACGGATATTTACATATCCCGCATCCTTATCCACTTCTCCCACGCTTCGTCAACGCACCGAAAGCTCAAGCAAAGAAAAACTTCTTTAGTTCGCTGAAGAAATCAAAAAACGACCCCACCAAGGACGCGAAGACCCATCTTCAACTGTCTATTGTCTTCAGCGATGCCACCAACATCCAGAGGCTTGGGGTCTCCTTTGCAGGTCAGTCATCCTTCACCCTATTCTCTAACCAGAACTAACTTAAAGCCTAGGCAACGCTCTTATCGATTATTTCGAGCAATTTGAGCTCGCGGCAGACCTCAAAGGCGTCTCGCCTCGCGAATCTCGTCTCGGCAGATGGGTCCTCCTCTACGGCGTCCTCCAAGTCCTCTCTAAACTCTCCGTCGACACGCAGGGCCTTAAGTACTCGGAGGGCGTGCAATACTTTCTCTGCGCTGACCTCAAGCGCACTCCACCGTGGGAAACAACTAGTGCACACGGCATGGTCGAGGCCTCACAACTAGCTAGTTGGTGCTGGCAGCGGGACTGGGATGAGTCCCGTCCCAACGTGGTCCAAGAGCTCGAGGCTCAGGACACCATCCGGAGAGAGCTGGATGCCATAACAACGCAAAGAGAGAACCAGCGTGCGCCGGAGAAGCAGCGCGAGCGCGTGGACTCTGTGAAGGCGCGGCAGCCTGACCGCATCGACGTTGGGAGGTCGCCGGACTACGATCGCATCAATATTGCAAGGGCATCGGACTACAGTCGCTTGGACGAGTACAAGGGCTTCGAGTTCGGGGAGGCAAAATTGGGGAGTCGGACTCCAGATCCGATGCCCAGGGACGTCAGTATTGATCAGGGCCTCTACCCGCCTCATGTTCCCGCTCGCTCGCCACTGCGAACACCTGGGAGGAGGGACACATACTTTTCCACCGAGGGAGGAATGATGTAGGCTTGGGGATCCTTTCTGATTTGAGGAACATTTTTACATTTCGTGAGAAGCAGATGATACCCGGGAACGAGATGATAGGGAAGATTTGTATTATGAAATATTTTATTCGAGCATGGTATGGGATCTAGGGGGTAATCCTGGACTAACGGCGTTTTTCTTTTGGGTTCAGTATCGGACTGGTCATTGGAAAGGACGGAATGGGTTGCATGATGTACCAAAACGGCTTTCATATCGGATATTTAGGGTGTACCATAGACTTCTGGTATCTTTCAACGAAACATTTCTCAGAAAGACTTTGGGCTATGTATAGAGTGGGCTCGCTTTCAAGCCTTTTGATATTCTTACACTACATCTAACATATGCCTTCCCTGTGTATGAACACCCAGAAATGCAATATGATACAAGCGATCTAGTCTCCAAACCTTTATCCTTGTTATATCACCCTACACAACACCATACCCCCAAGCTTCCTCTCCACACACTCCCTCGCCTCCATAATCCCCTTATCCGTCGTCACAAACATGCACTCCCCCGTCCTCGTCAACCCCTTCACGAACGCCGACTCGCGCCCTCTCGTGATCTTCGCTAAATCGTCCGAGTTCACCCATATCCGCCTCGTCGGCTTGCTGACTAGGTTCATCTTGTTCAACACGGGCTCGTTCTTCCAGTACTTCAGTCCAACCCACAGCCGCCGCTGTCCAGGGTTCGCGGGGACGATTTCTTTATACGACCACTCTGGGGCCCTACCCCAGGCTACCTCTGGAGTTGCTTCCTCTTGTGCTTCAATTTTCGCTTGTTCTGCCGCCTGTAGAATCGCAGGCGCGGCTGCCTTCGCCATCTCGGGATTCTTAGCTACCCACGCCTCCAACAACGCGGAGCGGACCGCAGCCTGCGGTGCCGGATACGCATCGCGGAGCGACTCGGGCCAGATATCTGGCTTGGTTCCCGTCTCGTCGAAGCCCAAAGCATTCAGCCGTTCTACGATCTCGGCGATACCCATGACTTTCTCGCCATCCTCTTCCTGCTCAACTTTTGTCTCAACCGGCGTTTCTACCCCCGCGGCTCTGAGCGCAGCCCTCTTCTCCTTCACCCGTCTAGCAACCTCATTGCTTCCAATAACCTTCTCGAGCTGCCTCGCATTCAGCAGATACCCCTTCTTCTGCCGCCGCTCCAGCTTGCGTGCCTCCCGCAGCTGCTCCGCCAGGTTTTTTGCCTCTCGCTCTTCGGGGGTGCCGCGGTATTTCGGGGGCTTCTGCAGCAGCACTGGTTTAGGCGGTGCGGGGCCGCCGAGCGTTACGCTGGAGATGAAGCCTTGCTTCTGTAGGCCCAGCATCAGCGCGACGTGCAGCTTCGAGACGGGAATCGAGGTCAGGCCCAGGCGGGCTTTGGAGGCGTTCTGGAGGTGCGAGCACACGGCGGCGAGGTTGACGAGCGACATTGTGGGTGGTAGATTATAGGATGAGTGAAGGCGGGAGTGCGTAGGGAGCCCTTCCGGGCCTGGCGACCTCCCCGCGCGAAGGTGCTGGGGCGCGCTGTGGGTGACGATGAGGTCGGAGATGCAGCAGTGATGGCGGCGAGGATGGGTAAGGCGCGCAGAGTGGCCAATTGGGATGGGGGTGCGGTGGTGTCGTGAGGGTCGTGGATGCGTAGAAATCTTTCGAGCCCGCTGAACTCCCGCGATTGGCCGCTGGGCCTCTTGGGCGCTTCCGACGCGACGGTCTTGAAATAGAACGATGCAATTCCACTAGATGTTATATATGTTGATATCGGCGCTGTTAATACCTCGCGGCTAACGTCTGCATTTCTTCCTGCGAGTTTGTTTCTCTGTCTCCTGTTGTGCGCTTGTTTCGTGATTTGTGCTCTGCTTCGCGTGGTCGATATCTTCAGCCTTCACATCTTACCTTAACGAGCACAGCATGCCTCAACAGCCGGGGGAAGTGTCTTTGTTGACGCTGTATGTATTAAAAGTGAAGCTAGCAAGTTCTTGTGCTAATAGGATGCAGCTTCGCGGACGTTCACTACTTCTTCAGCCCGCCTTCCGCAAAGCCTCCCCACCATGCCTTTGACAAGTCCTCCTATGTATACCTCTACCATAACCCTATCCACCAGCGAGGGAGGCTGGAGGTAGCAAATCATGCTGGGACACCTGAGCAAACTGCCTTCTCTGGCTGTGAGTTGCTCTATTGGCATGCATTAAGAGAACTCGGCTGACATGACTTCGAATCTGGCAGTCACTGACTCGGTGCGAGTCGAGCAATCATATAAGCATCCTACTCTCTTCACCATCACAGTCGATGCCTTCCGGGGCCAAGGGAAAAGTGCGTCCTCGAGCCCACAGCAAGACCTGTCTCAGTGGCACCTCCCGGCTCCAGATCCTCGGAACGACGGCAAATACATGTATAGACTGCATACTGTGGAGTTCTACTTCTGGACCGCTGACGATGCGACCATGTTCCTTGATTCTTTGAAGAGGGTTCTTCAGCCTCATCAGTTACAGATCCTTGAAGCGCCGACTGCTGTTTCGACAGCTCCCCAGGAGCATAGAGATACTACTATGAGCCCGGTAGTGGAGAAGCTAGAACAAGCCGCAATCTCAAGAAACTACCCGGCTCGGAGTGCTAGTATCAGCACAACGCAGTCGTTCAATGGGCCACCGACTGTACCCACTCCGGCTAGTACCGTAGCCAGTGGGCCGCAGCATGAGGCTCCCGCAAGCTTCGCGCCCATGGCATACAATCCCGCCGCTCCTGCAGCACCGGAACCTATAGCCCACCGCGAGAAGACTCCTCCTCCACCTGACGCAGAAGCTGGGACTGGTTTGACTGCAGCGGCAATTAGTGACCATCAGGGCCAATTCGGCGCTCCGCCTTACCACCAGAACTCGTTTGCGCCTCAAGCTACCAACCAACCGTATATGCCTGGGCCGCCTTCACGACAGCCCACTCAAACTTTCCCAGGACCGCCCGCTCCCGGTATTCAACGATCAAACACGTCTGGGTCGTTTCCACCACCACCCCCACAGAGCTCGAGCGCCGGTCCTCCGCAGGGCCAAGGCTACGCTCATTCATTCGCGCCGCCTCCCCAAGAAGCGCCACCGCAGCCCGGCATACATCGTCAAGCGACTATGCCTGCGTCCGTGTCCCAGCAATACGCCAACTATCCAGCATCGCCTGGATACGCTCCTGTTCAGTCCCCGGGCCACCCGCCAACGCCTGGCCAGATGACACCGGGCTACGTTCCAGCTCCAGGCTATCCGGCTGCACAGTCACCGGGCTTCCCTCCCCAGGGAGCGCATCCGCAGTATGCCTACGGTCAAACAGCAGACCAGTACGGCATCCACAACTCCATGCACACGCAGCTCTACAGACCCACGGAAAGCGAGGCCAATCACGGGAAACAGCCTGCTGTGATAGGGCCCGGTCCGGGCGTACAGCCAGGTAACTTCGAGCGCCGCACCGAGAAAATCGAAAAGGGCGTGGGCCGGTTCCTGAAGAAGCTGGACAAGAGGATTTGATTGTGGCTGATGCTTGGAAGCATGAAACCGAACGTGTGTATTGGGCGAAGAAGTGGAAAGGGCGCATTTACGAAGTATATGAAGTATGTTTCTTGCTATATAGTTTGCAATCACATGTGCCGCGATACCCACCAGGGTGCGCGTAATTCTCCACCTGCAAACCCTGAAAGAGGCAGCGCTTATAAAGGTGGCGGCGGGAGCCAATCAGCGGGCGCAGAGCTACCCATTGTCGCCGGTTCGCTTCACCCGCCCAAAATAGCCCTGGGCAGAAGAGGGACGCTCAAAGCTGACCGAGGGCTCTCACGAGCCTGGAGCTTACTGCGATCTGGAATCCTCTCCACGGTGCACTCGCTGTCCAACTTGCCTATACTCTCACATCAGCGATGAATCGCTCGCAAGAGGATACTTAACTCTACGCGTGCGCATCAGCCCACCTCTAGCGGCCTCGACACAGCCGCCTCTTGCAGCCACTTCCAAGGTTTCCAAGGTTCCCGTCGTCTCTATGCCAGCGTGCTGAGCCACCGTCAGCCCCGAGCACCCCGGCTACTTCCATGGTTCAACAACTCCACTTCTGAGGGCCCAGCAACCAGCACCTGTTCCTACACAAGACACTGACAGCATTGGCATCTCGAAAACCCTTTGTCCTCCTATCACACTTCTCGAACTCTCGAACCAACCAATTCGCCTTCGGAGTACCGAGCTTCCAACCCGCCTAGGCTGGATTGCCACAGCTCCCGGATCTTCCCTGTCTGACCGATCGAGAGAGACCGATACAAAGACCTCCTTTGCATGATCGTGCTTCAAGGTCCGCGGAAACGATGCGGATACCCGTAGTTCGCAACGAAGACTCGTCGAGTGCCAAGCGGGCTGTCAAGACCAGCGGGAACAGTGCCAAGACCGTCGTCGTAAGCTACCGCTTTTTCAGAGCCTCTGAGATAGCAACAGAGGGCCAATACTAACCGTGCTCAGATCTCTGTCGTTGTGGTCGTCGTTCTTATTCTCCTCATTGTCGGCTTCGTCGTATGGTCCCGGATCCGCGCGAATCGTAACAAATTCAAAGCGAGAAGAGCAAGAGAGGGTGCGGGGCCTATAGCTGCACCGAAAGCAGAGAAGAAACAGAAATGGAAGTGGAATTGGACGCCGTGGAAGAGAAGCCATGAGTACTCGGACCGGCTTCAAGAGCCTGAAAGTGGACGGGCTGCAAGCCGTGACCGGGAGATGACAGCGTCCACGAACGACGACACTACGGCCGCCGCCGCTGCTACCGTCGACCGGAATACCTCAGTCCGCAGCGTCATGACGCTTCCTTCATACTCCACCGCAGCTCGCGAGAACGAACGCATCCTAGCGCGAGAAGGCGAGCGCGGCGGCGTCGACACCGTCCTCGAATTCCCCGAAACCAACGACGAGGAAGAGCAGAGACGAGAAGACGAGATGGCCTCTCTCTACCAGATTCGCCTCGCGCGCCGAGCCGAACAGCGCGAGCGTGAGGAACGCAGACGACTCAGACGCGAGGCCCGCGCAAGGGGCGACCACCATGCCGTTGCGGAGCTCCGCCAGCGCGCCGAGAGCGCCGCGTCACAGAATGCCTCCCAGACCCTCATCGCTGAACACCAGGCCGCAGCCGCAGCCCGCGAGCGCCGCGTCTCCAGCGTGCAATATGCCGAGCTCGGTGTCCAGCGGCACGATGGCACGCGGCTGCGCGCCAACTCAACGGAGAGCGATGTTCGTCCGCTCCTCGACTCTTCGGCGTCTATTGGGGGCGGGAGTCAAACAGCTTCTACACTGAATACGCACTACCGTGGCCCGTCGGCGTCGTCGATTATGACAGCCTCGACACGGGCGTCAGATGAGTATGATTTCCCCTCTGCGCAGCGAACGACCACCGGTACGAGTGCGGGAGACGACTTCGAAGTCATCTCGTTGCAAGAGTCGCGGTCGAGGTCTATTAGCCAGGGACCACCCACACCCGGCATTGACACCGATATCCCGCATGTCAGTCCCCCGAACTATGATGACGGAGCGTGGGAGGAAGCACCGCCCTACACGAGCCCTGTGAATACGCGTGCGCCGCAGCTGCCAAATCTCGAGCGTCTGCCGTCGATTCATGTTACGCAGGAGCCGCCGACGCCTGAAGCGGGGAGGAGTGTTGCATCGTTGCACGGGCAGGAGCCGAGAAGTGGATGAGAAGAAAAGCAAGATATGAAGAGGACTATGTGATGGAGCTAATCTTTTTTGATTTTCAGCGAGTGAGGAATTTTTGTGTATACGTGGCCACGACTTGAAGAGATTGGACTTTCTTCTGATGAGATTACGGGGCATGAGACGAGGCTTTGAGCTGTGTATTATAGGGGGTGGTCAACGTAAGGTTGGCGTAAATAATCGGTGGAGAGAGACAGAAGGGATGTAGATAGATACTGTCTACCTTAATCTAGCGTGATTCTATGCTAGAGTCGACCTATATTGCTGTGCTACAGTATTCCACTCCGTGAAATGAATTTGGGGACGCCCAGAGTCCTTTTGGCTCAGAAGGCACAAAACAACACGGTAATTGTAATCGATAAGTCCTAATACATAGCACATCTATTCTATAGGCTTTCAATTCTCAATTCCAACATTCCTCGAATTTGGACCCTGATGTCACTTCGAATTGAACCCCAGTCAGCCCCACCATCCCACCATCAGCTTCACCACCTGGCATCTCCCCAGGCACCACCAACCTCGAAGCCCCCGCCACAACCCGCTCCAAACACCCATCCTCGACAACCCCCAATCCACCACAATGCCCGCCCAAGAATCCAAACCGAGCGAGTCCTCCGCCTCAGGCGCCGCCGCGGCGGCCGCCATCGCCGAATCCACCAACCCCCCCTCCGCAACCATCGAAGACGCCCACTCGGGCGCTAGCAGCGGCGACGACGAGGAGCCCACGCCCAACACCCTCGACGGGGGGGACGTCGCCGCCGCCGCCTCGAAAAGCGCCAAAAAAAGCAGCAGCAAGAAGCGCAAGCTCAAGGCGGCGCTGAGGGGCAAATCCTCGGCCGGCGACAACAAGGACGCGGGGGAAATCGGCGACCGGCTGTCCAAAGAGCAGCTGGCGGCGCTGCTCGAGACGAACCCGGCGCTGGCGCAGGAGATGGACGCGCAGGCGGCGGGCACGGCGAGCAGCGTGCAGGAGCTGCTGCGGAAGCTGACGGTGAGCGACGTGCTGACGGGGACGGCGCCGGGGGGGAAGAACAGGAAGGACATGGCGAGCCATGCGTTTTGGAACACGCAGCCGGTGACCAAGTTTGAGGAGGCGGGCGGGGAGCAGGGGGATGGGCCGATCAAGGAGATCGATGTGGAGAGGGTGCCCAAGGAGCCGAGTCAGATGTATCCCGGGTTTGAGTGGGTGACGATGGATTTGGAGGATGAGAAGCAGGTATGTTTGGATTGCGGGGGGGGGGGTGGTTGGGGCGGTTTGGGGTTTTGGGAATTGGGCTAATGTGTTGGCGTAGTTGGATGAGACGTATGAGTTGCTGACGGGACATTATGTGGAGGACGATGATGCGCAGTTTAGGTTCAATTACTCGAGGTCGTTCTTGGATTGGTAGGTTGTATATCATGCATGAGTATGATAGGACTGACGACGAGGACAGGGCTCTCAAGTCTCCAGGTTGGAAAAAGGAGTGGCACGTTGGTGTCCGAGCATCAGCATCAGGCAAGCTCGTAGCATTCATCTCTGCGATCCCCGTCGAACTCCGCGTCCGACAAAAGCTCCTCCACTGCTCAGAAGTCAACTTCCTAGTCGTCCACAAGAAGCTCCGATCGAAACGTCTCGCTCCGGTTCTCATCAAGGAGATCACCCGCCGCTGCTACGTGGAGGACATCTTCCAGGCCATCTACACCGCCGGCGTGCTCATCCCCACGCCAATCTCAACGTGCCGGTACTTCCACCGAGCACTGGACTGGGAGAAGCTATACGAGTGCAAGTTTTCGCATCTGCCCCCCGGCAGCACAAAGCAGCGGCAGGTCATCAAATACAAACTCCCCGAAAAGACCACCCTACCAGGCCTCCGTGCAATGGAGAAGAAAGACATTGACAGCGTTCTCGACCTGCTGAAACGCTACCTAGAAACAATGCAGCTGGCGCAGATCTTCACACGGGAAGAGGTAGAACACTGGCTTCTGCCGTCCAAGACTGTGGCAGAGCAAGTCGTGTGGTCGTACGTTGTGGAGGACCCTAAAACGAAGAAGATCACGGACTACGTCTCCTTCTACTCGCTCGAGAGCACGGTCATCAACCACAAGAAGCACAAGGTTGTGCGGGCGGCGTATCTGTACTACTATGCGACCGAGACGGCGTTTGAGAAGGATAAAACGCTGCTGAGGCCGAAGTTGAACGCGCTAATCAAGGATGCGTTGATCCTGGCGAAAAACGTGAGTATAAACCCTTCCCCCCGTCCCCTTTCTCTTGTCACATTAGTCTTGTCTTTAGAGCCTTCGTGATCTGTACTGACCCCCTCCCCAGGAGAAATTCGACGTCTTCAACGCCCTAACCCTCCTGGATAACCCCCTCTTCCTCGAAGAACAAAAGTTCGGCGCCGGCGACGGCCAGCTCAACTACTACCTCTTCAACTACCGGACTGCGCCCGTGCCCGGCGGGCTAGACATGCGGAACCTACCCAGCGAGAAGAATATGCGTGGAGTGGGCGTTGTCATGCTATAAAGCAAAAGGGCCATGGTAAGGTTTCCGTTAGGGGAGTCGAGGAAGGCATGGGTTAAAATGGTTGCATTCTCACGGGTTCTGTGAGGGAGGCTGCATTGTTGATACTGGTAGCACACGGGTTGGTGTGGAATGAATATGCTGCATCAATTATGCAGTATTTAGTTAAGCCCATGTCGTTTGAGTTTGTCGTGAAGGTTGTTGCTAGGTGCACTACCTATTGCACTACACGCATCCCCCGCTAGGTAGCCCTGCGCGCCGGAATCCGAGATGCACGTGACCTACTGGTTTAAAGACGAGAAGACTTGGAAGGCCGCTGATGTCAGCATTGGGAGGTAACTCGATTTTCTAATTGTGGTTGTACGTCGTGCTTGAAGGGTGGTGTACGTCCTAGACCAAAAATTTCTGGGAGGGGGTTGGGAGGGTTGAGAAAGTCAATGTATGCAGGTGCTTGTTTGGGTTTTGTGTCGGCAAAGGTGGCGTCCATTGAACCGGTGAATGTGGTGGGGTGGGTGGACGTGATTTAACAGGTAATCGGCCATTTAGCAGGTGAAGGTGACTTGGCAGGTTGAACATGATTAAGATAGTAGGGGAACGTGATTTAGGAGGTAAACATGACTCCACTCAATCTACCTAGGTATATATTTCCAAAAATTCCGAGACTTCCCCCATAGCGCCATCGGTGCCCGTCCGTGGGCACCACGTAAGTCGCCCCGATGGCTGGGTTGGAATCCAGCCTCTGGTGTAACACGACCTTCCACACGACAAAGATGTAGTGCAGGGCTCGGCCCGACGAACTTTTTGCCCCGTGATGTTTTTTTTTTTTTTTGAGTCCTCGTCGGCTAGCTGGAGTTCGAGTCGCGATGATGGGGGGGATCTTTTTTTTTTTAAGGAAAAAGGCCAACGCGTGTTTGATACCTCGCTGGATGGCTGTAAGCAGGACTTTAAGAGTCTGCAGGTGCTGCGCAGCATGAAAGACTGGATTGTGGAAAATGTCAGCGATCTCGAGTAGTAGTAGAAGGGGGTCGGTCTGGGAACGCGATCGCGCGCCGCGGAAATTTAGTATGATGTCATGCCCGAAACCGACCTCGATATCGACGAGGCCATAATCTTTACAAATTGGAAGACACTGGTTTCCTGCCAGCAGAAGAACGAGAAGCTGCTTCATGATATAGTCACAAAAGAGACAGAGGAGGCGAAAAAGTCTCTACGATGGAGTAAGCCCAATCAATGCCTTCCTTTCCTAATGACTTACACTGCCATGGCAGTTTTTCGATGCCACCTCAGTCCTCGAGGCCCAGAAAGGCACAGCAATCAACCAATACCTATTCGTCTTTACCGTCACGACGATCATTCATCTGCCCCTTAGCTTCGTCGCAGTAGGTCTTGTTCCACCACGCGCCACGAGGCACCGCTAAATCAACTCGCGATTACCACAGAGCACTTTTGGAATGCACCTCTTTGATAGTTCGGAACCCCACAAGACATAAGCATCATTCTACATCGCTACGGTCCAGGTTGCCCTCGTTACCTACATCGCTTCTAGTGTCAGGGCATGTGGGTGGATGGCTCCGTTCGGCGAGAGAAACTGAACTTTGACTAGTGGCATTGGACTAAGGAAGCGGAAAACAAGGAGTATAGGTTGGAAAGAAGAATACTTGAGGGCAGGATACCAAACACAGAATCATATGAGGAGAAGAGACGAACACGTCGCTGTGAGGTCGCCTGAGTTTCTGACGGAACAAGCTTGACCAAGACGAGGGTGGAGAAGCGGATGACACGAAGTGATCGATGTGGAAAGGCTTACATTTTTGGAGGTATAAGCACGCCGAAGACGAGGAAGAAGTGGTTCGACCGACAGGGCGTGCAGGTCAGACCGATTGCGTATCAAAAAGAGGCAACGGTTAGGTGATGTAGGATAAAGACTTTTTCTCGTTCAATTACCGTAATAGGTAGAGAAAGCGAGAGGAGGCATACAAGAGAGCTGTCGCGCTATACCCACGCCTTCAATTCAGTCAAAAACTCAGTCTTCCTTCACACTCGTGAGAGTTATATTCAGTGATGTCCACCCATACCTATCAGTACTTGACGGGCACCTTATAAAGAGGCACGTTCGGAAAGTCGTCCTCGTCCCACCTGACCTTCTTGCCCTCTAGCCAAGCACCCTGATCCGTTGCACTGATGCCCGCGGCTTCGTTCTCCTCAACCTCGATCTTGCTCACCCCCATCTCGTCCTTTGCCAACCACACTTTAGGTGTTTTAGATGTGAACGCCGGATTAGTATAGGCGTTCTTGACATCGTCCTCCGAATACTCCTGTACCTCATCACCTGTGCCGCCATCATCCAAAAGCCAGGTCTTCATCGCCTTGTGCGAGGCGAAGATGTGAGGCTCAAAGAACCGCGCGATAGGATCCACAACTTGCTTCGGGACTCTCATCTCCTGGCCGACACGCTGGACACGAGACGGGACGTTTCCTTCTTCGGCAGCCGATAGCAGCGGAGTTTCTTCGGCGTCCTCGTCTGCGGCTTCGAGATCAGCCGGGAGGTACTTCTCGAGTGGGCTGAGTTGGTAATTCATGGTGATATTGTAGATGATGGTGACACCGAGGAGAATAGCGGTCATCACGAGTGGTCCGGTGGCTTTGTGGATGCCGAATAGACCGATGAGGCAGAGTTCTGCTACGTAGACTCCGGTGAGAAGTTGTTGGAGGGCACGAGTATAGCATTCGCCTCTCGTATCAATTTTGGTCTGGATCACGAAGAGCAGGTTGTGCCGGTAGCTGAGATAGTAGAAGAAGACACCAATGGCCGCAAATCCGAGGACTAGAGGAGCAATGCAGGCGTAGGCGATAGCTAGAAGAGATTAGACAAAGCAGCGAGAAGAAATTGATGTCTGAATTTACTTACCAATGATCGCAATGTTTGTGAACTTAGGATATACGTTGCCCCATCCGATGCCTTTCAAGCTGGTGTACCGACTGTACTTCTGACGGGGTGTCTTGTCCATGAAATAGTCGAAAAAGAGGTACGAGAAAAGGTCCGAGTAATTCAAAACATTCTTCGCTGCGGAGGCCGTTCCTTGAAGTATGATGTACGTCAAGTAGAAATTTGAAGCTTTGGGTATTTGCCTGGCGAGCATTTCCGGTACCCCGGCTGGATTCTGGGCAATTTGCGTAGCAACGGCAGCGGCCGCGGATGACAGAGATGTGACTAGAAAGACCTGTATGAATTGGAAGGCGTAGTACCAATTTTGAACCTTCAACTCAGCCTGCGTGTTCGTAGGTTGACCACTTGACTTAGCAATCCCTGATCATGGCTTAGCGTGCAGTTATTGTCTTTGTATAGTTCACTTACATCGGAAAATATTGGGAACATAGGAAACGAAGAGACTCGTTAAAAAGGGAGGCAGTAAACCGGTGAGGAGGCCAAGGATTGGAGCTGGTAGGTTATTGATGAATCCCAGGAATTTGACTTTGTCTGTGAGATACTCAATATTAGAGATCGCTCCTATGACTGTGATTGGAATGGTCCAGAAGATGATAGTGGCCGCCACGAGAGCATTTGCAATATAGCCCTGCGAGATGCGACTGGCTGGGTGGATAGTCAAGTTGTCCCAGATCACTTCCTTTGGTAATACGCCAATGTATCTTGGGTTCATGGCGAGTATTTTGGAGGACGGAAGCTGTTGATATGCTTTCTGGGCGGCAGACTGTGTTGTAAACTCGACAAATACCGCCGAGTTGATGTGGCTGTCCGGTGCGGTATGAGACTTGCGAGCCTCTTCAACTTCGGATGCCTTCTCCTTCACTTGCTTTCTTAACCACTCGATCTTATCAACTTTCTTCCCCGCAGGTTTAGTTAGGTATTTGGTTGGTCTTAATGACGTTTTGACCACGTCTGGAAGGCCAGCATAGTCTGGCGCTTCTCCGTTTCCCTGGCTTCTATTGGCTCGCAGCCTTTTTTTGTTCGCGTTCTTCGATAGTTCGAGCTCAGCACTCTCCAACTCCTCGACTTTTGAATTGCGGCTTGACACTAGAGCTTCTAAAGCTTCAGCTTTAGATACGGGCCAGAGTCTAGTAGCGTTGTTGCTAAAGTTTTTGTGCAGATTGTTCTCGTCGAGAGCAGACTTCGGAGCAGAAAGAAACAGAACAGTCCGGGACGATAGCCGAGTAGCGTTCGGTTTAGCCAGGTGCCACGCTTGGCGTAGGCCGACAAGCCATATGCGTTCCCGCGCTACTAAAAACATGATGAAGCCTGGAACGTAAATGAGCGAGTTTCTCCTTACGTTTGTACAGCATCACCCTTACCGAAGAAGACCCATGCTATCACAGCATGCGCATATAGATGGCCGTTTTTGGCTTTGGCAATATTTCCTATAGCAATCCTGTCCAATTGCTTCGCCTTCCCGTCTCCCGTGTAATTCACCGGCATCAGTATCGGCCAGGTAAGACAAGCTCCTACAAAGCATATGAAGATGATGGTCCGAAGGAATCTCAGGTATAGATATGCATCGATTGACTGATGTTGAAGCAGGAACTTGTCGTCAACAACTCGGAAAGTGTGCATCCAATCGAACCGTGATCGACTTGCAGACGGTGTTCGGTCCCTCGGAGAGTCAGTGATGAGCATAGCTTCAAAGTCTCTAGTACACTCACTTCTCTGGAACAACGCCGATGTAGGTCCTGGGCATGTATATTCTGCGGTATCTGTCCCGGATAAGGACGAAGATAGCTAAGAACAAGACAGCAGTCGCGACCGTTGGGACGAGTGTTGAAAGAATCGCAGTCAACGACGTCGAGCCCGGAAGCTAGATCTCAATTAATCTTTGACTCTGCAATATAATGTGCCCAAGCAGGGACTTAGGCGCATGAAGAAACGACATTAACGGCACCCGAGAGGGAAGTCTAGATACAGTAATAGCAAAGAAGTTCCGACTAGGCGTTCGGCAGGCTCTTTCATAGGAATATATCCGTAAAAACGAATGTATGGAAATTGATGGAAAGCATGGAGGAAGATGCTCAAAAAAAGCTAATAAATATACCTTTTTGTCCTTAGTATATGGTTCAAAGTCTTCCATAATTCTTGAACCGATGCCATCTGGGCCGAAGAATGCTTGTGAAGCCATATGTAGACGTGTTGATGATATGTAGGGAGGAGGCGACGGCAGCCTTGCAGGACGCTTAGAGCTGGATAATCTGAAACAACACAGACGTCATGGCAGAAGCTCGTGTGCGGTCTAATGGTGTAGGAATGGGGCCTGAAGAGGATTTTCAGCAGTGTGTTTTGTTCAAGAGTTGATGGAATAGCAAGGCGCAGCTGGAGAGCAAGCTCTAAGTTCACCGAAAGAGCAATGACGTCTGAAGCTATTTATTGGTCTGTGCCACCTGCCGTGGTTTTTGACACGCGTGATTCAGAATGCTACAACAATTCCACAATGCCCTTCCGCGACCCAGTAGCCGCTCTTCTGGCAGAAAAGACGACTATAATACTCGACGGCGCTCTTGCGACAGAACTCGAGGCTCGCGGACTAGATATATCCTCCCCAGTATGGAGTGCTGGAGCTCTCGTGACGCATCCGTCTCTGATACGCGACATACATTTCTACTACTACCGTGCCGGAGCTGACATCGCTATCACTTGTAGCTACCAGGCTACTCCCCAGGGCTTCAACGAACACCTCGGACTCGACGAAGACACGTCCATTGCCCTAATAAAGAAGAGCGTCGACCTCGCGAAGCAGGCTAGAGAAGACGCACTCTTCAACGTCCCTCCTCAATACGCTCGAACGCTACTAGTAGCCGGGAGCGTAGGTCCATATGGAGCCTACCTTGCGAACGGGTCAGAATACACTGGAGATTATGATGTTAGCACGAAGGCCATGAAGGATTTTCACCGAGTTCGCATACAGGCTTTGGTGGACGCAGGCGTCGACTTGTTGGCATGCGAGACTCTCCCAAAGCTCTCAGAAGCGTCTGCTCTGCTCGAGCTACTCTCCGAAGAGTTCCCTGAGGCCGCAGCTTGGATGTCGTTCTCTCTGCGAGACCCGGGCCACATATCGGATGGTACACCAGTGGAGGACGTCCTCAAAACCCTGAACTCTTCACCCCAGGTGGTAGCAGTGGGCATGAATTGCATACCAACGACTCTACTGGCCCCAGCTTTAGGAGTTTGGAAAGAGCACACATCGAAGCCCCTGGTTGCCTACCCGAACTCGGGAGAGCGGTTTGATGCGGTTACCAAAACATGGGACAGCAAGCTCTCAGAGACTGCTTTGGTAGCAGACCTGGTCATCGAAGGACGGAGACAGGGCGCACGTCTCGTCGGGGGATGCTGTAGAACAAGTCCAACCGATATTGAGAACATAGCAGCGGCTCTGAACACCGGAATATCAGGAATGCCACAAAGGACTTATAAGTTACCAGCGATTGTCGAGCATAACCCAGCAAAATGATATAATTTCCTTTATAATGATATCCTCTCCCTTTTCCTGGTATACTTATCCTTAAGGGCCCCAACGTTTTTTGTTTCCGTGTGTCTTGCCATTGACGAGCACAGTGCTGCGTTACAAATTCAATGTCTTTGTACTTACACTACTTGTAACCTTTATAGCGGAATTGCAAGGCGTTCCACTCTCCCGCACTGGAGCTAAACAAGCAGTTCATGAAAGGCAGACTACATCGAATTGAAACTAAAAAAAATCCGCCTCCATCAATTCATCACTCTCCCAAGCTTCTCCAACCAAGCACGCGGATTTTCTTGAGCAGAGACCACTACTTTTTCCCATTGCGCCCCTCATCCTCCTGATGCTTCTGCAAGTCTAGCGAATTCGCCACACATCCAGGCTTCTTGCCACAGATATTCACGAAGCTAACCATAACATTCCACACGAACTCCTCCGGAAACTCTCTCGTTTCATCTTCCGAACCGTCTCACTTGAAGCCATGTCCGTCATCACATCGACAAACAGCCGTCTAGCAGCGTTGGAGCTAGTCGTCGCTTCGTATATCGTCCCGACAGCACCGTACGGCAGTATCGGCGCTTTTTAGGCATTGTAGAACTCAACGAGCGCGTCCAATACCGTGTTTCGGAAGGCAACATCCATCAGCTTGTCGCCGAGGATGTAGAGATCGCAGAGGAGCTCGACTATGGCGCCGCCCCAGATCTTGGGCTTGGTTGCCTCCACGTCGCTGTCGTCCTCAGTATCCGCGACGTTTCCCTCGGCGTTATTGTCGCCAGGGCGTGGCTCTAGGTGAGTCAATTCCGGCGCGATTTTGCCTATATATAGGTAGCCGACGTAGAGGGCGAAGACGTCGGGGTCGTCGGTTGGGAAGGTGATGAGGCGCTCGTCTGATTTTCCCTCCAGCGTCCGTTGAGGGCGGCTCGGATGAATTTTGAGGAGCTCTTGCGGAGGATGCGCTCGTGGACTGAGAAGGATTGCTGGGCTGGGTACTCGTCGACGCGGAATTCGATGACTTCGCCTCTGTGAGCGATGATAGGTTAGGGGTGGGAAGTGATGGCTGAGAAGGCTGACGGACCGGAAGTATTTCACGTGGCGCACGATGGAGTCTTTGATGTCGGTGGGGCGCATGCTTGAGATTCGCGATGGGAATTAACGGAAGCTCTCTGGCTGTTATGAAACGAGAAAAAGCAGTGGTTGATCTTGGTAGCATTATGAAAGAAACAATGCTGATGGGAAGGGAAGTCTTGTGTGGGAAGAGAGAATAAAATATGGCTGTGGCGACATTGTTTACCATGGTACACCACCGTTCCATTACCGTAGATTTCATTACACTCCCTAAGTACCATTAGCATTCTTGGAAGGGAATCCGCGGCGTCCCTTGTATACAGAGTACTCACGATGGGCGGAAAGGATCGTGAATTTAGCAACGCAGATTTCGAGATTCTTGGGAGCTATCTGTGATTTCGTTGCTCTTTGTACACCAGTGAATAATATAAGAGTAGCAAACATCGGGCATTGAATTCTGTTCTCATTGAGAGTTGGGCTACCATCGGAAAAAGCCTGTTTTAATGAGCTTTTTATATTTATTGCAGCATGATATCTCCCAATAGACTGTCCCGCTCTGCCCTCGTCCATGTGTTCATTCCTCATGGTCAAATCCCACAGCCTTGCTCTCCGAGCAAACCTTCGTTCTCATCCAAAGAGACTTTCATTTTGAAGCTCCGTTGACTGACTTGGATTGGTCGCCTTGCTTGTCTTCGTTGATACTTTTGCTCTCGTCATCGACCGGCTCGTGATAGCTTGACTTATCGTTCTTTTCGGTTGGATCTTCCAAGGCTGATGGCCGCACTTGATGCAGGCGAACGATAACGTCCCAGAGGAACTCCGCAGGATATGTGTTGTAGTCTTCCGTGCCGAGGAACTTACTGATATTCCGATGTGCGAAGAAGTCGATGATGAGACGCCTTCCGGGACAAGATCCTGCTGCGCCATTATAGATAATGGCAATGATATCCTGTGCTGGAATCAGGCGTGCCCATTTGCCTTCTCTCTTCTTTCTCGCGAGGTCTCGAATTTCGTCGAGCACATCGTTCTTGCACTGCACATCTTGTACTTTCTCGGCGAAAAGTCGCTGATGCGAACTTTTTGATGGAGTAGCAGCCGTGCGGATCTAGCCGCGGACGCTTTCACTTCACTTCGCCACGACTTCACCATCTTGCGTTCTAGGTGTGACAGCTCATCGATTGCTACTGGATCATGAGAAAAACATGGAGAGAGTATAAGAGGATTATCATTAGGCTAACATGACGGCTTTGCAGCAACTGGAAGGACTTTCCCAGTGGTTGGAGGAAGATTTAGCTAAGAAAGTGACAACAGGACGTCAAGGATCATGCATAGATATGCTTGCCTTCCATAGTGTTTTCTCAGCCGTACATTCACTGCGAACATCTTCGCCGGGCGAATGAAGGTGGCTGCCTCGTCAAGTTAACTCGTCACTCGCGGCTTCAAACTCGCGTCGAAGTCATGATGTCGGTGCACAAATGCCCTGCTAGGGTTGTCAATGGACAACATGACCGAACGCGTCACATCGTTGACGGCGTCACGTCAGACTCCTAACAATCAGGTCTCTCTAGCACAACATCTAGTAGTCTGACGCGCAGAAGTGAGTCTTCAAGAATGACGAAACAAGAGATTGCTTGTAGTGGGCTGAAAGATCGTTCTCCGGGCTGTGGATGGACGTGGAGTACGAAGGCACATACGGAGATTACTCAACACTCCTCCAAAGACGGACGACGCGAATTGAACGATCGGTGTTTGCGGTGATACTCGCCTTCGTCGCGGACAACTGGCAGAGAGGATTAATAAAGCCGTGTTTACACGCAATTAGCTCCTGGAAAGCTTGAGGTGTGGATCTCCCACCAGGAGTTGACTGCGGACATCGCCTCGGGGACGGCTGGCCATCTTTTCGTACAACCCCAAGTCCGGTCGGCCTTCGGGCGCGACCCTCGCCTTCGCTACCGCATCGTAGAACGCAGCGAGACTAGCCCCATACTAAACCCCTAGCAGCAGACATATATGAACGCTTTTCCATCTGATAAAATGCCATCATCAACTACTAATTTGCCGTCTTCCATCTTCTTCGTTTCCCTTTTTCTATTGCTTCTTTTCTTGTCGCATATATCCCTTTCAGCATACATACAGCTATATTTCCCTCCCGCAACATGGAACGTAAATCGGATGACATCGGGTCAAAATCCCAGCTTTCGATTGACTCAACCGTCAACTCGGGTAACCGAACCCCTCTTCAAGATCCCGAGAAAATAGCCGTCCAGCAGAGCACTCAAGCGAACTCACAAATTGTGGAAGAGGGTACACCGGATCACTCGAAAAATCCCTGGCACCCGTCACAGTTCCCAGATGGAGGTCTTGAAGCGTGGCTTGTGGTCGCAGGCGCAGCCTGTGGCATGTTCTGCAGTTTTGGATGGCTGAATGCCATCGGTGTCTTCCAAAGCTATTATGAAACCCATCAACTCAAGGACTATACCCCGTCTGAAGGTAAGGCACATCGGATGTGTTCATCGATCATTGCTAACTGCGACAGTTGCGTGGATACCATCATTGGAGATATTCATGATGTTTATTATGGGCCCCTTTGTTGGATACGTCTACGACAATAGGGGTCCCAGGGAGCTGCTTGCAGTGGGAAGCTTTCTACACGTGTTCGGCTTAATGATGACCTCATTATCGAGCACCTACTATCAGATTCTTCTCGCTCAAGGGATCTGTAGTCCTCTGGGACTCAATTGCATATTCAATGCATGTGTCGGCACGGTGACAACTTGGTTCTTCAAAAAGCGTGGCGCGGCTTTTGGTATCATGGTAAGCTACGACCTGCTGATTACTCAGGTCTCATTCTAATGAATATAACTAGGCTGCTGGCTCGTCACTCGGTGGTGTCATCTTTCCCATCATGGTCAATCATCTTATCAACGAGGTCGGATTTGCGTGGTCCATGCGGTATGTTCTCAACCGGTATAATCGCAGCACACACTTCGTGCTGACTCTCTCCCTAGTATAGTAGCTTTCATGATCCTCGGGATGCTGATCATCGCGAACCTCACCATCAAATCGCGACTGCCTCCGAAGAAGAGGGAGTTCAAGTGGATGCAGTTTATCACGCCTTTCAAGGAACTCAAATACTCTGTGCTAACGCTTGCCTGCTGGCTCTTTTTCATGGGTCTCTTCATCCCAATCAACTTCATCGAAACACAAGCGCTGGAGAACGGGATGAGCCCGAAACTTGCTTCATACTTGATCCCAATCCTAAATGCTGCCAGGTAAGATCCCCTTCGCCCAAAAGCACTCGCCGCTCTGTAAAGCCATATTAATACCTGTGTCAGCATTTTCGGCCGTGTCATCCCCGGTATCCTTGCAGACAAGTGGGGACGCTACAACCTAAACATCGTCACCTCCTTCTTATCCGGATTATTTACGCTCGCTCTTTGGCTCCCTGCATCCAACAACGCTGCTCTAATCGCGTTCGCCGCCCTATATGGCTTCACTTCTGGCGCGTTCGTGTCACTCGCACCTGGCCAGGTCGCGCAGATCTCGAAAGTCGAGGACATTGGGGTCCGCAGTGGTCTACTGTTCGCAGTACTGGTAAGAACAGCTACTCCTTCGATTGAAAAGTGCTTTACTAACATGGGTCTTCTCTCAGAGTATTGCTGGTCTAGTAGCAAGCCCCATCGCCGGCGCCATTGTGAACAGTCAGAATGGCAGCTTCACAGGAGCGCAGATATATGCCGGAGTGTTCCTTATGGCTGGTGCTGCCATGTTCGTACTTGCGAGGGCGACACTGGTGGGGTTCAAGCTGGTTACAAAGGTTTAATTTTTCCAAAGAGGCGGACAATTGTCTTCCCGAGAGGTAGGATAGACACAAACTAGATTGGAGTAATTCACGCAGAGCGACTTGCATCATTCTCTTAATGGTCGTCACGGGAAAGACTGGACTGGAGTTTCCAGGGAATTCATCATGTACTATATTCTAGAGCCATCAACGCAACCAACTCCCCACACATTTCATCTCAAAAGATACTTTGACATGACGATCGGATTTCTCTGGCAGCTCAGGCACCTAAGCAGAATTCGTGGAACACTTCAAATGGCCCGTGCAGCAACATCAATAGTATTTCTCAACACGACGTGAATGAAACGAGTTTAAAGTTGCTAGGAGAGCTTGAACACCAATTTCGAGTCTTTTGGCTAGCTTTTAGAAAATCATTTCAACGTTACGTTGTGCTAGAAAAGCATCAAGAGGTTGACTTAGTCAGCGGTGGTCCAGGAATTCTGCTCAGGTGCCTGAGCTGCATGAAAATAATCACGTGATGTTGACTTGGCAGTGAGGTCCGCGATTTCTTTAAAGCCGACACCGAAAGTTGACTAATCTTGGCCCCCCTGGTTACGCTCGTCGGCCGATTTTCGTACAAAGTCCCCTCATACCCTTGATACCTCTGCATGCTCCACACTCTCGGTCTATCTTCCATTGTTGTCGTTTCGTCCGTACTTGCCATGCCTAAGAAACGAAATACTTGTACGAGATGCTCTATGAGGCGGCAGAAATGCGATCGAAACATGTAAGCCTTCCTAAAACCCGTTGTACGATGGTTGCGTTGAGATTTGTGTACACGTTACCACTGCTTGGAGTGCTTCAATCTGGTTTCAAGAGTCTGGACTGGATGTAAAGTTCGTCGAGACAAGATTCGGTGCAGGTTTCTGAAGCTGAAAATCCACCAGCTCCTCAAGTAGCCTGTTTTAGACAGTGGCGTTCGGCAATGAAGAGAGCAACCAAGCAGTGTTAATATAGTGTACACAGATTCATGACCTACTATTGTACTAAACCTTGAGTGTGTCGTACTTACTCTCGACAGTCCTTGTGGAAGATGCATCCAAAACGGTGAGGCTAGCATATGTACGACCGAATGGCCAGATGGATACGATCCGCGAATTCATCGGAAGTATCCGTCAACGAAGGCAGATGGCGAGAAAGAGAGTCCTTCGGCGCAAGCTGGTTACCCGACGCCTGTCGTAACGGACACAACGTCACAAACATCACAAACATCCCCCCCTCTCGTATCAAATACAACTGGTCAGACATCGGCGACCGCCAATCCATCTCCCGCCCCTGCACGGGGTCCAGATCTTGAATTCATTACTTGGGGGCAGGCAAAACTGTCCGAATTCAACATTAATGGCAATTTTGCTGAGAGAGCTCTGGACAGCAGAGTTCTCAATCTTGGAAACAACTTTTGGCAAACAAATGAAGATTTGTCTAACGATCTTGGCCCCCTCTCATCACCTGCGCAGTTGGCTGAGGTGAACTATCTTCAGTCACTTATACCCTCAAGAGAGCAAGTTTTCGCGATGGTGCATTACCATGAGGATCACTTGTTGTGGCATCACGGCTCCTTCCATGGACCGGCCTTCCGTGAAGAGTTGACAAAGGTCTACAAGGACTGTCGAATACTTCAGATTCGAGATTTGGACTGGAGGTGGACAGCGCTCCTCTTTGCCGTCCTTGCAGGCAGCTCTTTATGCGCCCCCGACACCGTTACTTACACGTGGCGTCTCACGAAACCGGAGAAGGACAGGCTGAGCAGGCAATGGTACCACGCGATCATCGCGAGTCTGATTATAGGGCAATACACGTCAAAGTACCACCTTTACACGATACAAGCTATAGCGACATCGTCGTTATCTGCGCACGTCCTAGGATACTCGAAACAACAGCTCTCGCTTTTAAGCGTATCAATCACTATAGCTAGAGGCCTCAGTTACCACAGGATAGGCAAGGACGCAGAGCCAGAGCTTGATCGGGCTGGGCAAGTTCTTACACCGACCCAGCGCGAGGCGATCATTCAAAGAGAAACTGGCCGACGGGTGTGGTGGCATCTCTGTGGGCAAGGTCAGATATACTCCCATTACTCCTATTTATCACATGAGCTAATCCTTAGACAAGACTGGTTCTGCACTACCACGACGAGAATGTACTCAATACAGAAGCGACACTTTACCACGACAGCGCCTCTCCATTACGATGATGAGACAATGAAACCTCTGGCGAAAGGGGTGCCAGGAATCACTCACTACAACAACCACTTAAATAAACTCGCGCAGCTAAATGTAGAGTTTTTTGAGGCCTTACAAGATGCCCAAAACGCCGAGGCAGAGTACGACGTAGTGCTCAGATACGATTCTAAGATGCGCGCCTTGTACGCGGAGGCACCCAAATTCAAACCAACCAGCCCTGAAGATGGTTCTAGTCATCAATGGGTTCGGTGGGCTAATCGTGGCGTAGAACTCTCCCATAATCATAAGATAATCAAGGTCAACCAGTTCTTTCTGGGACGGAGCTTCTCAGAACCACGATACGCTTTCTCAAGATGGGCGACCATTACCGCATCGAAGAATATCATCCACACAATGGAAAAGTCTTACGGAGAATCAAGTCCGTGTTTCTGGATTGAGCAGGCCTTCATGGTCACTTCTTGTATCAATCTCGTACTGGATATCTTGAACCGACCGGAAGAAGACAGCCCAGAAATTAAGGAACATTTGGCCTTAGTTCAGGCTGCCGTTAATACCCTGCAAAAGTTTCCGAACAGTGCTATAGCCACACACGGAATCCATTTGCTTTCTACCTTATCTAAGGACCGTGGCCGAAAGCCAGACAAGAATGAACAACAGCCCGGTGGTCAAACTGCAACGAATGCTAGCAACGCTACGCCTAGCGTCCAGGTATATCTACCGAACAAACGCCAGAAACGGGACAACAGATCGATATTTCAATCTCCGTTCAGCACAGATATAGCGCTCGCAAACCCCATACCAGATACTAACGGATCGACATCCGCACCAAATTTATTGAACCCAGTACAGTTTGACGGCAATGGAGACAGCCTCAGCCTGATCAACCAGTATCCTTGGTATGCTAATGCCGGCGATGTGGACTTTGGAGATATACTCAATACGTTTCCTCCTCAGTCAGGCTTGGAGGCAAACAACTTCTTCGAAGACGTGTTCAACCTTGATTTCTTCTAGGTACCGCCATCTGAGGTTGCATGAGGGGGGTCATGGACTCCTCAAAACGATTACCTCCCATCTCGGTCAGGTTTTCGAGACATTTTGAAACGTCACATGCAGTGGCAAAAGAGTACCTAGATATACAAAGAGAGAAGATATTATCTAATAGTCGACTTTTCTAGCCGTGTCTCGCGCCCGTAAGTGTGATTCCAAGGCATGCACATATATTACAAACGTAGTGCACGCACATAGGTCGTCGAATATATGTGCTTACCGCGACTCTGCAGATCGGCCCCAACTAAACTTTGCGAAGACGTTACATATCTGCGGGCGTCAGCTTCCCTCGCTCGCCACCACCGTCCACCTCTCCGAAGCCCCAAAAAACTTCTCCTCGCCACATCCAACGACCCCGCCGTCTCCGCCCCTAAGTATCTGAAAGCCCACCCCTTTGGCCCGCCCGACCTGTTTGGGAAATCCCACCCTCCGCACACCCGCGCCTACCACTGCGCCACCGGCGGCGCCCTCTGCACCGTCGCGTACGCCATCAGCCAGCGCGGCGCGCGCCGCCTGCTACAGCGGTATGGGCTGAAGAACTGGCAGCGGATTTGGGATGTCGAGTTGGGGATGTGGTGTGCGGGGTCTGATGGTGAGGATGTTGACTTCCCAGGGGAGGAGGTACTCGCGGCGAAGGAGGAGGCGGTAGAGGAGGAGAAAAGGAGGAGGAAAGGAGGAGAGGGGAGAAAACGTGTGTCACGGTTCAGCCGCCGATTTTTGGGCATCATCATCCGTTGGATGGGGAGAGTGATACTAGGGGCTTGTCGGGGGGTTTGCGAGGAGGGTGGAGACGAAGTATGTAAGGTGGAGTGTGAGGATGAGTTTGGAGAGGTTGGTGAGGGAGAAGAGGGAGGGGTCGGTGGATTAGTGGCCGGATTGATGTTGTGAGGTTTCGAGAGGGTGCGGTGTTAGGAGGTTAGTCTGTGTGCACTTCATGTCACTGTCAGGGTGCTTCAATATGCTTTCAAAGATCTGAGCGAGATGCATGCTCGTTTATTGGGGTGATTTGTGGACTGTTCAGAGTACCCCAGTTGTCGTCAGCCCACTGTAAGCACTTCTGCAAGGTCTTCAAATGTAGAGAGTATTATCCCACCGCTGGCTAGCCAAGAGAACCTCCATCGTCTGCTGCCCGTAAGGGTCTTCCGCCTCATTTGCGGCTGTCCTTCTCCTCGCGCCTTGAGTGGTAAAGAGCCTTGACTTGCGACTCGTCTTTCCACGGGGCCTTTGCAGGTACTTCATCACGTGCGTTAGTCATACCAATGGCGATGTCGAACAAATACTCTTTCGGCAAAACATCCATCGAACCTTTCGACAACCAGCTACCTTCTGCCTCGTAGACGAGGAAGTCCACCAGCAGTTTCCGGAGATGCGAGATATGAGTGGTGCCCTCGTACGAGAGTTTTATTGCCCAGTCGCCCGGAAAATATATCTCGCCGTCAATCACGACCTTGGTGTTGCGAATGATTTCGTTGATGATGGCGTCTTTGAAGTTGCAGTCCATAAGTTTCTCTCCGAGGCAGTAGGCTTTGCATAGCACCACGTACAGTTCAGCTATTTCTTTGGCGCCAACACGTATCTGAAGCGAGTAGGGCCACTCCTGATATATCGAGAACACATCTGGGTCGTCTTCGGGAAGTCGTACGCAGCGCTCTTTGGATTCGACCCAACCCGGCTTTAGGGCATTATCGAAGAACTTGGACGAGGCACGAACAATTCCTTCGTGAATATAGAACGAGGTCTCGTCAGTACCGACTAGGATCTCGATGGGCTTGCCATATGCTCTGGCTTTGGTTAGCAACGTCAGCGAAACTATCGTTATTTGAACATACCTGGCTTGCTCTGGCGAGCTCACAGATGTCTGACCGTTCGACATCATGCGGCACCCCTGGGTGGTTGGGAGTAAGGCTTTTAGGTAGGTAGGTATGCTGAGGCTCGTGGTGAGCTAGAGGTGTAGGTGAGGAGATCAAAACAGGAGTGCACGAGCCACATACGGCTTTGCGCTACATTCACTTCACTTCTGTCACCGCTTCACAACTGGGAATATTGTCTATATGAGTATCTCGTGCGCTCTTAGGCGAAGCGAGAGAAGTTCGGCAAAGACGTTAAAGATGGCTTGGAGGACACAGCTGCTTTGGAAAAGGTCGAGCGAGAGATGAGGGTATTGCAGGTCACGGAGGATACAGCTGCTTCGGAAGAGGTCAGGGAGGGTGGGGACTGGGCTGCCAAAGCGGACGATGCACACAGAAGCATACTTGCAGCTGAATCTGATCATCGCGGTACAGTAAGACGCAGTAGGAGCATGAGGTGGCCTTGAAAAGTTGGGATCAGCTTACCTTTGTAAGGAGCAAGCCAACGCTGAAGTCCATCAATAGGCAACTTTCTGGTGTACCTTATCCTTGAAGCCTAATACTAATATGGAGTCTTGTAGGTCTCGGCGAGAACTGCGGAAACATCGAAACTTGTACGAGAATCAGAACCTGGAGTATGTCTTCAAGAAGTAGACTTCATGTTTCTCAGAATTTGATGGTATTTGGCCACGTGTACATACGTGAAGAGGCTCCCTCACCACTTCAATTCGAGGCTGCGAAAAGGTGTACTGTGAAATGCAGCAAACTGTTGTCCAGATGAAGCATTTTGATTGCGGGTAGTAGGGCGTACGCATGGTGTTGAAGAAGTTGGGATGATCTCCGCCTGCTAGCTCAGACGATCTCCGCTCGCTCTAGCTAAATCCGGATGCTAGAAAAGTGGGACGCGGGGCACTAGCTCGTACCAGGCTTTGAGCTATGTGTATCTAGACAGCGTTTGGATGCTACAATCGATGATGGTTCATATTTTAATTAATGCTTTACTTCGTGCAGTACAGGAGGCTCCTAGTTTGTTTGTGGTCTTGCCCGTTTGCTCTCTTAAACCCATGGCGCTGCGCTTGAGAGCACCCAGGTTGACATCATTGCGCTAAAACGCCCACGTACTAAGGGTTGAATGCGGGGAAGCTCAAGGGCAGGGGTGGAATGGTCAATGGCACACGAATGGCACCACGAGCAGGTGATCTGCTTTGGTCACGGTGTCTTTGGACCCCTCACCTCGAGCTTACTCCTCGTCTCCCCCCGTCTCTCCTTGCTTCCATCCCCCAGCTATCACCTTCCATCAAACAAACATCAACCGTCACAATGAGTGCAATTGCGGACGAGAACGGGTCTCCTGAGACCATCAAAGTTCTCTTTGTGTTGTACCCAGACTTTGAGGCATTAGACGTAGTCGGTCCGCTCGAGGTCTTGTCTCGCGCTCAGCACAACACCAAGGACACTGGTAAGCACTCTTTTCTATATGACCTCAACCCTTCATATACTTCATCAATTGAGCTATATACACATGAGTTTTCTTCTTTACTAACCCATATACAGCTACCAAGGCCTTCGAATGCAGCTTCGTTGGCAATGCTGCCGCCATGAAGTCCGCCCAAGGCGCCACCCTCAAAGCCGACATGGACTACGAGGACGCTACCGAAGACATTGAAGAATACGACGTGCTCGTAGTCCCCGGCGGTCTCACCAACGAGATCATCCAGTCCAAAGCTGAGCCTGTACGCGTATCCTTCCTTTCACCCCTCGATAGCCCTCTTCATACATACCAAAACCCTCCTTATACACACATTCTAACAACCCCAGCTCGCCCTCATCAAGAAGTGGGTCGACGTCCAAGAGAAGAACCCCGCCAAAGAGCGCACCATCCTCGCCGTCTCCACCGGCTCCCTCCTCCTCGCCGAGCAGGGCCTCCTCGAAGGCCTCGCCGCCACCACCCACCCCGACTACTACACCCGCCTCGAGACACTCTGCCAGAACGCCTCCACCCGCGACCTCTCCGAGCGCACCGACGTCATGGAGGAGCGCTACGTCGTCAACAACGCGCGCTTCGACCTGGGCGAGAACCCGGACGAGAACCCATACATCGTGCGCAAGCGGCCAGATGGCGTGGCCGCGGGCCACGCGAGGCGGAAGAGCATCGCGCGCAAGGGCAGCAACGCGTGGAAGGAGAGCCGGCGCCGCGAGTCGATTGCGAGGCGCGCGAGCATGCCGCTGGGAGGCATGCGCGTTATCACCACTGGTGGTGTGACTGCGGGCCTCGATGCTAGTCTGTACCTCGTTGCTTCGCTGGTCTCGCATGAGTCGGCCGAGGAGGTGGCTAGGGTCATGCAGTATACTTGGATAAAGGGCGTTACGGTTGATGCGATTGATGTCTAAGCGGGCGCCAGGATTCCCAAAAGCATGGGCACGGTATGCTCTGTAGTATCTTGTGGGTGAAAGTTCGTTTTGTCCACTTGATATGGAATGGGATGGAATAGGCGGCGTCACTTCCCCTTATGGCTTCTAGGCGTGACAGCGTCCGTCTCGAGACAGCTGAATGAATGAACTAAAGTCATGATTCATGATACTCAAACGAGCTATGCTATGCTGTGAGTCTTCTATGCCCGCCGCCACACTCCGCTTTCGCAGAACCCCTATACCCCCCTTTACTCCAAATATAACAAATGAACAATCATCAAGCAGCCACCCCGACCGTCCCCTTAATAATCCCATACCTCCCCATCAACTCCTCCCCCAGCAAATAACTCCCCGGCACCACCTGCGTCACCGGCATCAAAAACACATACCGCACTACCAACATTGCCTCATCCGGCACCACATACGTCCCCAGCCCGTGCTTGTTCCCGAACCCCGCAATCTCGCACCCCAACAGCACCCGCATGTTCTTGAACGCGCTATTTGGCCATCCCGAGGACTGCACGCAGTACCCCAACGACGCGCTCGGCTCCTGTGCCGTGTAGATGCCGCGACCTAGCGCGGCGCCGTTCGCCTCGAGGGGGGTGCCGCTGCACACCTTCAGCCCCGTAGCGACGATGCTGTAGAGGCGGCACATGGCGGTGCCGTGGAAGACGACGCGGGTGAGGGGGTCGCGCTTGACATGGGCGTTGAACAGGGCGCGTTTGGCGGTGGGGGTGGCCATGGTGAACTGGTGGGCGCCGGCCATGCTGGGGATGTGGAGGGGCGAGTCTGGCGAGAGGGACGCGAGACCGTGCTGCATGGTACAGAGCCAGGAGAGGAGGGTCTTGCAGGGGAGCGTGAGGCCGTGGAGGGCGAGGGGGAGGTCAGGGGCCGTCTGGAAGGTTGAGAGGGCAGGCATGTCGTTTAGCGCCTTTGTGAGCGTCGTGATGTTGTTGATTGGGCAGTCCGGGAGGAGGTCCATGCGGCCTGTACTTATGGCGGCGTGGATGGAGACGAGGAGGAGGTCGATGACAGTGGGGTCGTGGCGGAGGACGTTGAATTTCCATTCGAGGTTGGAGCGCCGCAGGATGAAGATACAGGCGGTCGAGCAGGTCGCGCTGACCCAGTTGTACCATGTGTTTTGCTTCTTGAGCTTTTTGGATTGTCGGACGTGCTTCCAGTTTTTGACTTCGATGACTTTTATAGAGACTTGTGCTCGTTTTGAGCGGGGGCGGGAGAAGCTGCCCATTTCGGTAGACAGCGTGTCGGGTCTTAAGCAGCAACTGTATTTGCGGCCTTTGAGGTTTCCACAGTGGGAAATTAAGGCCGTGGATTTGATGATTGCTGATTCTAAAGCGGCTAAGGCTGAGTTCTAGGGTTGCGTGAAGTGAGCTTAGTTAACCGTGCCACTGATTTATTACTTTAAATTAACTACGAACGACGGAAAACAAACAATGAGAAAACAAAATGCAATAAAAGGCAGAGCAGAAGGACAAGTGAAGAAGGCTTGAGGAAAAGAGTTGAAATAAAGTCATAGCCTAGCCTCAGCTGCAGGGCACTGACTAAAACAGTGCTGCGGAGAGATAGGCTCCTCACAAACCACTGGCTGCAAGGCCCGACGGACAGGTACTCAAGTCATCGGCAACCCGAGTCGGCCTAGGAGGCCATTGGATAGGTCGCAAGTTGGGCCACCATGGAGAGGGCTGAACCGCAGTATTCATGCAGGCAGCCATTATTGAACTTAGGCAGACTCCGTACTCGCCTTGTACCCCACATCAACAAACGAGAATGGACGAATGCATGTGAAACGCTTGACAAGGTTAAAAGGGCGATGCTGCCACGTCTGGGTTAAGATGAAGGCTGTAGTGCGCCTTCGGGGTCTTTGGGCTGAAAGTTTGTCAAGGGTGTTGATGGGATGGCTTGCTGAGAAGTTCGATAGGTTATTGGAGCCAATAATGAGACACATCAAGCGAAGGCAACAATAAATAAGTACCGGGGAGGTTTCCATGCTCCGATTATGGTTAGTGTGAGGCTTGCATGCACAGCCTCTTCCGGGATACGAGTTTGCTGGTGGTGGCTCGTTTGCGGCATGCACTGCACCTTCATACTTATCAGGATCAATAGACTCATACTTAGGCTTTGAGATCATGCATCTCATCGCCTTGGGGTCTGCTGGTTAGTGTGACAATGACTGATGTCAAAACGGTTTTGGTATCTGGACGTCCTCGTGAATCGTTTCCCCTGCAAGGCTGAGAAAAAGAAGTTGAAGGAACTGTGCACATTTATACGCTGCAATTGATTTCAAGAAGATGGATATGAAGGATAAGTTGAAAAGCTTAAGAGGTTGAATTAGACAAAAGATGAACAGGAGTTCTTTCGGATTTTAGTATTTCCGAGGTCCGAACCATTCTACCTACCTTTGTGTCGTCTCCGTTGACGCTTTCTCTTCTTGAATCAATAAAGCCTCGAGCTTGACCGCAAAACACGAGACTCACTCCGATACTAATCCTATCTTCTTAATTAAATAAAGAATCTTTCGAACGATCTACGCCGAACCTGTCGAAAGAATGACGCGCGGAGTAAAATACTCGGAGCGCTCGGAGTGATAACCGGAATGACTTCAAGTGTACAACGGAGTACGCAATTGTATTAATGTATATATTAACCACATTAATTCAACGTTAATTCAATTATCTTGAACAACAGAAATACCGTTCTCTCTTCTTTCATCATACGATATATTCAACATGGCCACCAAGCACGAAATCCTCTCCGAAATCGACACCAACTTCCCTGAATACCTGACCTTCCTTCAGACTTTTATTCGCGCCGCGAGTCCCAGTCCACCGGGAGATACTACTGAAGCCGCCTCAATCGTATTCGACTTCTTGTCTAGCCATGGAATCTCCGCCGAGACAATCGCGCCGCAGCCGCATATGCCAAATATTGTGACCGACTTCGATGGTGGAGACAGATCTGGACCACGAGTAGTCCTCAATGGCCACATTGATACGTACCCTGTGGGGAATCCCGATGAGTGGAAGCATGGTGGACCATACTCGGGCTATAATGATGGATTGCAAATACATGGCCGGGGCGGAGTAGATATGAAGGCCGGGACCGCTGCATCTACCATCGCGTACATATTGCTTAAAAAGAGGGCCCAAAAGTTGAAAGGAAGTGTAGCTTTGACAGTTGCTTCGGATGAAGAGACGGGTGGAAAATGGGGGACACGATACCTCCTCGAACAAGGCGGCAAAGCGTCCCCATGGAGAGGGGACTGTGTGATAAACGGAGAGCCTGGGGGCCTCCAGTCAATCCGCTTTGGAGAGAAAGGAACGTTAAGACTAACATTCACAATCCGGACGAAAGGAGCGAACGGAGCCTATACACAGCTAAGTCGGGGTGCTAACATCATAGCTGCCCAGTTGATACAAAGACTGCTGGAAATTGAGAGCATGACGCCACATCTATCTGAAGAATTGCGAAAACACTTCGACAGCTCGGAAGTCCGCCTTGTTGCCAACGAGATCATGGGCCCTGGTACGGCTGAAATACTACTTGCTCCTACGATCAACATAGGCACGATACGTGGTGGCTTCAAGGTCAATGTCATCCCCGAAGAATGTGTATTTGAAGCGGACGTTCGGCTTCCAATCGGTCTGCTCGCAGAGGAGGTCATGGATCATGTATATTCCATATTGAAAGACTTTCCGGAAGCGTCTGTGTCCAAGCAGGAAGCACCTAGCAATCCCGCCAACTATTGTAGTATCGACCACCCTTTCGCCAAGCACATTGCCGATACTACGGAGCACATCACAGGTCGTCGACCCGTACAGCTTGCTGGGCTTGGTGGGACTGACTGCAAGTTCTACCGCTATCTTGGTATCCCTGCCTATGTAATCGGACCATCACCTCGGTCTATGGGCGCAAGTGGAGAAGCGGTTGATATTGCAGAGTTTAAGGCTTTGATCAAGATTCATACGCTCGCGATTTGGGATTATCTTGGTAGTAACGCCTGAGACTTCACACACGTATACAAGCGTGTGTCTCAGAGCGTCGGTGATATCCAACGAGTTTCACAATTTGCGCCGTCGCTATGCAACCTCCATGTGCTCTCGTTATCAGAACATTTATATACTGATAATAGGCGGTTTTCGTCCTCCACATACTCGCAGTGTCCACACATTCTCATCTACTACATTTGACGCTCACTGGGTTAGCAGGTATTTTTTGTAATCGTTCTCTTATTGCTTCATTATCTTCTCTCCAAAGGTGTCACATTGGACAAATCATCTCACGGGGCAGTTTAGTTGAGAACACATACTCGTCGTACGCGGCAGCACCAAATGGGGCCAGTATGACGAACACATAGTCGCACACTTCATCATTCTTTCCTTCCTACTCAGTCACAAGAAGAACGCGTAGCCTTAATGGTAATGCCACTTCACCGACGAAACTCGCCAGCCGTCAGCATCCAGGAGGTTTCCCTCTCAAATATAGAATTGTTTCGTATGATGCCTCTCATGATCACGCAGATATTCGGCTTTTGAGATTAGAGCCAGGTGTGTTGCATGGTGAGCTGGTTCGTATCAGTTGGTTGGGGGGTGTTACATTCATGGCAGTGTGAAAGAGGAGGTGCTCAGGGATGATGGATGCCGAGGTAACGTGCTTGAATTAATTTGAATGCAATTTTTCGCCGTAGTATCACAAGTGTCATAAGTCAGATATCTATGATTAGGATAGAAGGCACTCACGTATCAGTTATATTAGCTGAATAGTCTGTCCAGAGAATATCCCAAAGTCGGTACTGATATCAAGACGCCAAACTAGTGTAGCCGTGGATCCGTAACCCTTAAAATAGAATCAAAGGATTCGAACTCCCCGCTACCTTACATCGAGCTGGAGGTTCCAAGAGTCTATAGAAGTACCCCAAACAGTAACAAAGGCGGTGCCCAGCTGCGACAATTAGCTTCGATTTTACGAACGAGACGCTTTGCGATTGATATCGAGGCGTATGTGAGGGAGATTTGCATGCTGGAAAGCGGCGTTTGAGTGGCTTCGTGGAAGTGAGGAAGATATGCATGGGGTGTAAAGGATTGGAGATCTTGAATTGGAAGGAGTGTGATTGGCGTGCTTTTCCAGGCTGAAAACACTCTACTTCAAGCTCGAGGAGGTACTCGTGAGTAAATTGTATGTGTAACGAAGGCGTCTATGGTGCCCTATAATCTCATGCACGGTTTGAACACGATGTAAAGAATTCGAGGCTGTGAACTGGAAGGGTTTGATAATGGCTACTTGTCGCTACTTGAAATGCTCTGCTCTGGACTGGACTTCGAGAGCTGCTCTCGTACTCCTCAGCACCTTGAGATGCGCGCCGTGACTTTTGAAAATGTGGTTCTCCATGTGAAGTAAAGGAAACAAGCATGTCCATGTCGTCACCCCGCTTATACGAGTACCAAGTCCAATAGTAGCATTCCTTTGCCGCCTGTGCTGTTGTGCCACCAATGCCCCTGTACATACCTCCACAAGAGCAAAAAAGAATGCCGAAAAGCAAAAGAGAACGGGCCCAACCGCGATTCGAACGCGCTGTATATATTGTTAGCTACAAGTTCGAAGATTATTAGTGCGGTGTGTACTCACGGGCCTCCTGCAGGTTTGAGATGTAATACCCAAAGCAGGAATCATACCACTAGACCATTGGGCCGAACTGATGTTTTTGACACTTGACAAAATTATCTTGTATCTATACTATCAAATATTGTGGCCACTTAAAGTTAAGGCAGCGTCACATGATTTGGTCTAAGAAAGTCCACCCTTTCCAACCTCCCCCCCCCCGGGGACCCAAAGGACTAACGGAACCGAACATGGTGTTGACTCATCATTGCGAAGTGCCGGCGGCATGGTGGGCTGTGCCACGCCCGAGACTTCAGCGAACACCAGCAATTCCCCACCGACAGGAACCCGGCAAGGTCACCCTCCAGTCCTGCTTGGCACACAGAATAGTCCGGCTCGGTGCGGGGCATGAATGGGACCCCTCATTGCCCCCCCAGTAGTGGTCAATCTCGTGCTGACAAGGTTTCAATCACGCAATCCCCCTACGCAGTTACATGGACAAATCTACCGTTATCGTGCTTCGGAGATCTCGCCATCGGTAGTACCAAGGATGGAGGGGTAAAATGCTTTTTTTCATAAAGCGTTATGACGCCCTTTGTTGGATGGGCAAGAGTCGCGTCATTTCCATACTTTGATATATAACACTACTGTGGTTTCTTTGCCCTCAATTATATTTTCAATATAGGACAGACTCGCACAAACATTCAATACCACTGTTTGCTGCTGTCAATCATCTAATTCACCCCCAAACCTACACTCTCCACACCCAATTTCACGATGGCGCCAGCACTTACAGCCTCCGCACCTGCACCCCCTCATACCCTCTCCTTTCCGTCTACCGCCCCCAAATCCATCTTCCCAGACGGCATCAAGACTTCCGGCCAGCACCCTCCCCTCTACGACCTTCTCCAACCCTACTCCGCCTTCCCCAAGACTATCACTGGTCCTACAGTCTGGGACGCCGCCGACTACGCCAACAACCCCGAACGCTGGACTCACCCCTTCTCTGCCTCCGAGATCGCTGAAATCAGCGCCGCCGCCGATGCCTTCATTGCCTCCGGTACCCCGTTGACCGGGATCTCGCAGTCAAACTTCACACTCCCAGAGTTCAGCAAGTTTCTCACTAGCTTGAGGCACGAGCTGCTCAATGGCAAAGGCTTCCTCCTTTTCAAAGGCTTCCCGGTGGACGAATGGGGTCTCCGCAAGTCCGCGGTGGCGTATATGGGCCTAGGAACTTATCTAGGTTACTTCGTGTCCCAGAACGGCCGCGGACATGTTCTGGGCCACGTTAAAGACCTTGGCGAGGACAGCTCCAAGATTGACAAAGTGCGTATCTACCGCACGAACGCACGTCAATTCTTCCATGCCGACGACAGTGATCTTGTGGGACTTCTCTGCGTAGCTAAGGCACTCGAGGGCGGGGAAAGTGATCTGGTGAGTTCACATCATGTGTGGAATGTTCTACAGCAGGAGCATCCGGATGTTGCGGAGGAGCTCGTGAAGCCACAATGGTATTTCGACCGCAAAGGGGAGACGAGTAAGGGAGAGGAAGAGTGGATAAAAACGTCTGTCTTCTATCTGGAGAAAGGGGAGAACCCAAGGGTGTATTCCAAGTATGAAAACTCAAGATTCCACTTTTTCAAAAGCTAATACACCTCTTAGATGGGATCCCTACTACGTCAAGTCCCTCACTCGCTTCTCCGACGCCGGCATCATCCCCCCACTCTCGCCTGCCCAGCTGCGTGCCGCCCAGATCCTTGAGGACACCTGCGTGCGTCTTAGCTTGCATATGATTCTAGATATTGGCGATATTCAGTTCCTGTCCAACGAGCATGTTCTTCACGCCAGGACTGCGTACAAGGACTACCCGCCACCAGCTCCCCGCCGTCACTTGATGCGTCTATGGTTGAGCACGCCGGAGTCAGAGGGCGGATGGAAGCTACCATTCCATGATAGTCATGAGAAGAAGCGGGGGGGTATCCAGGTGAACGATACAGCTCCGGTGGCGCCGCAAGATGCCGAGTAAGGCCTTAGATCTTTTCTATGGATGTAAATGCCCAAGATGGATGGGAAGGGGGGCATGGAGTGGTGTTTGTTTCGAACTCCCAAAATTCGAACCTTTTCTGGGCCTCTAGAACGGCACAGTGTATTGTAGCAGTGGTGGTATATATAGTATTTAGATTCTTGTTTCATACATTTCATCATCTCACTTCTGCACTCGTGAACAAGCTCTTGAACTGCTCGATAAACCTATGATCCGGTTGAAGAATTTGGCAGTTATGCCAAACGGGGCATCGTCCACTTGTGTCACATGCACATCGACTGTGTCATAACCATTATTATTGAAGGAAATACCACATGTATTTGAACTTGATAGATCGAGTTCGAGGCTAGATCGCTCGAAGATATCCTTCCTCTCTAGAGTTGCAGCAAAAGCATATATTTACCCCTCACAAAGCAAAGCTGCCTTTCAAAAAACTGTTGAGACTTGTACTACGTTCCACAGGGCAAGTTGACTCCTGTTCACGTGAAGTGAACCGCATCTCACAAGAGAACACAGAAAAACCCACACGCCCGTAACACTGCCATAGTATCAGCTCCCTATATCATTCTTCCATCCCGTTCACCCTCCAAAAAGATACTGCCACCCTCACACACTCCCTAACACCCAATCCCTAACACCCACAGAGCACAAAAAAAAGCCAAAAAATATAATCAGATAAGGGTCTGTCCGCGACTCGAACGCGGGGCCTGATGAGGTCGTTAGTTTTTTGTACTGAATAGTGATTTGATGACGATGCTTACCTCTCGCAAACGACTTAAGGTGAACCCTAAGCGAGAATCATACCACTAGACCAACAGACCTTACTGGGTGATTTTGATTGTGGCTAGAAAATATCCATAAATGTAGTATGCGAAAAGGTGGTGGCGAAGGAATGGGGCGAGGTTCCACATTTGTGTGTTAGCGGCAGGGGTGGGTGTGGGGGCGCACATCAAAGCTCAAAACTCAGCCACCTGCACCCATGACGGCTCCCTCTTTCAACACTTGTTACTTCCGCCAGGGAGAGTGAAGTTGCAATACGCGAAATTGGGCTCCGTCTTCGAGGGCGCGAAAAGTAGTTCACTGACGGTACTTCAGGGGGACTCAACGATTTTAGTAACCTGCCTCGATTTCCTTCCTTAGCGCCTCCCACATCTCGACGATGCCTTCGCACCGTTGATATTAAAGAACTCGCCAAAGAGCCGATCCTGTCATGAAACGATTGTGAAAGTTCATTCCTGATTACGAAGCTGAAAGGTCGCGCAATACAGTTCCCACGCCGGAACCACTGCTCCTAGACGCGATCGATGATGCATAGGCGCATGCAGACCTTGGCTACCCCTTTTTGTGGACTTATCGATGAGGATGAAACTGCATAATGATGGATCACAGGGCACAAGTACGTGGGAGGTGACTACAGAACTTGGGCTGGTATACCAGTGGAGGAGTTGGTCACAAACAATGCGAAGCAAACTACGACCGTCTTCATCTGGTCTCAAGAGAGGCACACCTTCTATAATGCCAAAGGCATACACTCGCGGTTTCGGTTTTTGTAATGGCACTCCTCGCAATGCTGACATTGCTGGGTCTAACCATCGGAGACTGCCAATTCCGGACATATACATACACAGAAGTAGGAAGCACGAGGAGAATCTTGCTTGGAAGAAAAGCCATAGCTGAGCCCAGATTGCGGGTCGTTTTCTAAAGGCTAGCCTTGGAGCAACATATCGGGCACCGCGCTATTTTTTTTAGTAGTCTCACCACCCTGAAGGTCCCGAGCAGCATGTCTATCGTTAAGACCTCTAGTCAAAGTACTAATAATCTTATTTTAACATCAATCTCTCTCTTGAAGACGAGCTATGATGATAAGCACAAGTATTTGACTTCCAAGGACTCGCAGAGACACGTTGGCATTGACTTTATGGCAATTTGCGAAAATGCTTCATTCATTCATCCTCGTAAAACTGTCGCCCTCTCAGCAAACAACCACCTATATCAGCTTCCTAGCCTTTCCAAACAATCTCGATCAATCCGGCCGCGCTCCCAGGCGGCTGCACAAACGCCTTGATGTCAAACCTCTCATCCGTCTCCTTAACGACCTTGGTCCAGTCCTCCGGCGTCCTCTCCTTGGAATTACACAGTGTCATCATCTGCAGGTCTATCGCGGAGATGAACCGCCCCACCGAATCCGGCACCGCACCACGCGCCGGCACAATAAACTCCATAAGGATGACGCGCGAGCCCGTCTTCATGACAGGGACGATCTGCTTCAGTATCTTGACAACGTATTTGTCAGACCAGTCGTGGCAGACATGTTTCAAGAAGTACACTTCCGCAACGACGGGTTGCGGCTCGAAGAAGTTGTGGGCCTGGAAAGTGACGCGCGATTTGAGTTCCGTGGGGACGAGAGCGGCGGACTGCGGCTCGAGCTCTGCGAAGTCTTGGATGATACACTTGAGCTTGGGGTGTTTGGACGCCAGCTCGATAGAAGCATGACCGAGAGAGCCGCCGATCTGAGAGCGTGTTAGTATGAGCGTGAGCAGATTCGGTGGGGAAGAGACGTACATCAACAACAGTTGCCTCCCCGAGACTATCCCAGTCGAATCCAGCGTTAACGTGTTCGATTCTCGCACTCCCAGTCTCAGCCAAGCTCGCCATTGCATCACCGAAGCGTCGAACCCGCCAGCCCTTCTCTTCTCCCTCGCGTTCAATATCGAACCAGCTGAAGAGCGTCGCATCTGGCGGAGAGTCGGGGAAGAAAGCAACACCAGCAGCACAGTGCGCCGGCTCTTGGCTGTCAGTGTACTTGCGTAGTGCATCGGGTAGGCGGGTGCACGCTGGTGCCACCTCCTCGAGGTTATGGCCGATCCAGGCTTTAATCAAAGGGTTCCTATAATAATACGACGAGCTTCCTGTGTGCACGATCTCCCATGATCCCGGTGAGGTCTCAGCAAAGAGTCCCATCGAGAACGCATGCTTAAATATGCGACGTAGCTTTTCTTCGGGTATTCCCGTTTTCGATGCGATAGAAGCGACTGATGCGGTGCCATGGTGTGGGACCGCAGTCCAGACATCGAATTGGTTGAGGATGTCTATGACTGATTGGTCGTGGTGCATCTGGTAACGTTAGTCAATTCATCAACCCAGTCTCTCAACTTGCTATCTTACGAGCAAAGATTCTGTCCGTAGGAGCTCGTCCGAGCCGAGAGCGAGATGGCGAAGTTTTGAGGTAGCATCGATCAAGTTCATACGCGCTTCCTGTACTTCTGGCACTGGCGGCAGCCCCCCTGCAGAATTGACGGTGAAATCAGGCTCGGGGAGACCGTTTTTCTTGAGATATTCGGTTATGATGGCTGTGCTAGAAGCAATCTGAGCCGCCAGCTCGGTAAAGTTCTCATTGAGATTATACATTGTGACAGTATCGGAACAAATTATCGAAAGTCAAAAGACGTAGTTGTACTTCCTAGGTAGTTGAAGTGGTAGAGCCCAGTTAGCAATTACGGATCTAGAGTTGTCGACGTCCTAGAGCTCTTTATAGCAGTAAGGGGACAAAGGGTACCAAAAAGTAGCCCCACCTCCAATGTCATGCTACGTATCATGCGTCCCAGGTAATGCTGTACCCATACAAATTAAAACGAGTAGATCAATGCAGCTTAATCTTTAGCTCTTGAGGCTGAGCCCAGCCGCAATTTCCTAGACGGTGAAGAGGCACGATGGTAGCGTCGATCATGTGCATTCTTGGTGATAGCTGCTTTGATAATCGCAGTAACAAGCCAGTCAATCGGATATATTTTTCGGCTAGGACTTATTCCGGCAGTCTCGGACGGAGTACCGGCCTTGAATTAGCAAGCGCTTACATGGAAAAATACTAGGACTTGGTCGGTCCCCCTCGGCATCTTATTCTGATTGGAGAGAATAAAAGGTCCAACAGCGTGGCAAGGGTCCCCCCGATGCTTGATTATGTAGATGCCAGGGCTAGGAACTCATCAGGCTATCCCGATCAGGACCCTCTGACGAGCTTCATCCCAGTCCTCGGATAGACCTTGTTCCATGTGACAGAGCTGAATGTTGAAGTTGGTGGGATGATGTGGCAGATGGGGCTCGCTTCGACAAGGGCTTTGGTTGCTTCCTTGTCGTAGAGGGTGGCTGCGTACTGCGTATTCAGCAGGGATGGCTTCATCCTTTCCATCACGTTGCATATCGCGTCGAATCGAGTTTACAGCGTGAAAATTCAAGATCGACAAAGCAACGCAGTGGACGAATAAGGTAGGTTCCTGAAGAGCGTTGTAGATAGGATAACATCGTGACGTGGTGTTGTTCTGGAAGTGCTGTATTCTAGCTGCGTGCCGTCTTTTGAGCGTTACGTGCCGAGGTCAGCGCAATATGAATAATCTTTATAATAAGTGGCATAGAATGCAGCCCACGTTCCTTTGAGATTAATACCATTGCATGCCCAAGCTCGGCGTTCAGTGTGCTTTTTCTGCATGCGCTGTGTGCTGATCAGGAAAGCCATCCAAGTCAACGCTGTAGTAGCTAAGCCGCATATCGATCTGCTGGCCTGAATGCCGGAATACCGTCTTCCAGTATCACTCTTTCTTCGGGTTGGGGGCCGCTGGAGATGTCTCGAACATAGCCTGCAAGATGACAAATACCTGCGCTGCAGAACCGACGAAAGCGATCACCGAACTCCACTCTGTCGGTAGTACGGATAAAACGGAATCGCTAGGGTCGAGCAGGTGAAGCTAGTAACTATAAACACCTAAGTCCAAAATAAGGCCTGATTGGGTAGCTTTGGAGCTGACAGCAAGCGAAAAGCGATTGCTACCACACCGAGAATTTGCATGGTGGAGCTCTGAGCCAAGAACCAAAAGTCCGAGCCTTGACGGTACCCGGCTGATGTGAAGAGAACTCAAATGCGGGAGCCACCAGAAGCGCTGATAGCAATATCATGGCGAAAATGAAAGCGCTTATGGTGGAGTTGTACTGCAGAAACCATTCAACGTTGGCAACGTTGGCAGGTGGAATCATGTTCAGGAAACTGACCTTCCCCGAATCAACGCTAGGCTCCACATGCGCTTCTACTGCCATTGTGTGTGAAGCTTCGCACTCTGTCTCCTGAGAAATTGTATTCAAGCCTTGCGCTCCTCTTCGAAGACAAATCTCAGCTTTGTAGAGGTTGATTATATCTTGATTTAGCTCTGCCGTAGGCCCTTGTGTCTGTATTATAGCAATTATGGCATTCCTAACTGGACGGTTAGTAAGAGTAGGCACTGTAAGAAGATGATTGACGAAGTATCTCTCAGTTCATCTGAGAGCTTGTCCCTCTGCTGCGATTCCAGGTCTGCATACAACTGATCTAGGAGACGATCATAAAGACCGAATCGGTCGACGAGAGCATTCAAACCCCGCACATCGCCTCCCGCAGCAATTGGTTGACTTGCTGGCACAGCAAGCCTCCAAGCACGATCACCCATGGTTTGAAGATTACCCATTTGTAGTTTCCATTCGCGAGCCTGCGCTGGTAGAGTGTTTGCGAGGTAACGAAGGACTGCTAGAATGACCGAGTTCCAGTTCTTTGTAAACGTTGACATGGCTGAAATGTATGCAAGCATATCGCTTGGACCGTAGTCCGAGTTATGATAGGCTTGGCGCGAGGTTTCGAGGAGACGCAAATCCGACTCGGTGATTGGAATAGATAACGCTACGCCATTATTTGAACGGTAGACCATCCCGTCTCGACATGCTCCGAGAATCAAATCATCCATCTCCTCTAACATATCAAGGAGTCTCTTCAAAATTTGCCTACCGGCATCTGTCACGACACTCGAAGACATAGGGTATGATTTGAAATTATTTGTGCAATAAGTCAAGTTGATAGAGAGGATGCAAGCTTGGATTGAGTGAATGAAAGAATTGGGCGCAGGCAACCCTCGAGGTTTTACAGCTCGTAGGCGGCTGCTTGACGCCGAAGGCACAGCCTCAGCCACCATGCATGCCACCTGCCGAAAGACGCTCCATGGAGAACCCAGATTCGTTAGCTCTAGAGTTTACCTGTCGGATACGACTTTATTATCTACTGATAGCGGCACACGAGTCTGATGAAGCTTTACTAAGGAGTTTTGATCGAGATGCAGGGACGACAGAAGAGCAAGCACAACTAATCTCATGCGCACTGTCAATCAACGAGCTGATACGACTCTTGATTGCTCAAGTTTAACGAAGAACTGTTGATGCAGTTTGATAGACGATTAAAATGAAGTTAGAGAGATCTTGTAGAAAGTGAGATGAGATGATGACTCTAAAGTAAACAGCTTTCGCGTTCTAGAGAGCTTTCGTGTGAATTCCATCCCGATGTTTGCCTCCAACTTGCACGCACACAGGCCTTCCCTACGCCAATAGGATTAGCAGCATCACGGCTGCCTGTTGAATGTGACTTTAACCTTTCACTTTACGAGAAAGCCTGGTGCACGTACAAAAAGGTAACCTGGCATGGAGCCCTGCGTGCCTTAGCAACTAACACTACTTCGCTCACAATGTCTTTCCCAACGCGCAGGAAGGACAACGACCTCAAAGTTGTCGCCCAAGAGACCAAGAAACTCTTGCCATTCGTGTTAGATCAGCTGCAGCCTATCGACACGACCACGTCCACTCGCTATCATTTTCAAGACCTTCAGCCTCTCGAGCCGTCAGCCTGCCCCCAGCACAAACTTGGCGAGAATGATATCGAGACGGGTAGGCTCGGTACGCGCATCAAGGTCTTTGATCAAGACAGCTTCGACGCAGCAATTGCTCTTCAGCCGGGCACTACGATTGGTGATTTCAGGAAGCCCGTTGCCGTCCTGAATCTGGCCAGCGAGCGCCGTCCCGGCGGTGGATGGGAGAATGGTGCACTTGCTCAAGAAGAAGCACTGTGCTACCGATCTTCACTCTACCTGACCCTCAAGCCGGAGTACTACCCGATTCCGCCTCTCAGCAGTGTTTACTCTCCTACTGTCATCATCATTCGAGATGCCCTGGCTCGTGGCCACGGACCCCTTGTCCCAGGGACGGACGCCAAACAACTCGCCGTTACTTCTGTTCTCACGGTGGCGGCGGCCCGAGGACCTATGGTGGCGAGAGACCATACTTACCTTTTCAATGGCGACCGTGAGCTTATGAAGAGCAAGATCCGGGTCACTCTGCGCATGGCTGCCCGAAACGGGCATACGAAGCTCGTCTTGGGTGCTCTAGGGTGTGGCGCTTTCGGAAACCCGCCCAAAGACGTGGCTCAGTGCTACTTGGAGGTGTTCCGCGAGGCGGAGTTTCAGGGGGGATGGTGGGAGGATATTGTATTTGCAGTACTCGATAATGTGCAGGGAGGAGGCAAGGAGGGTATTGGGAATTATGGGGTCTTCTACAGAGCCTTGAACAATGTCGTCGTCTAGGACATTAGACTGGTAGCGGAAACCTTCCAAATTCTTTTCTTTTTTTGCACGGATGGTTTGAAGTAGGTTTTGAATTTCGACAATTTCTTTGATGCTGGGACGGCTTTATATAGAATGAATGTGAGGCGAGTTCTCGGTCTGCGTTCCTGCACTTCTGCTCCAGCATCTCATTGAAGGAGGAGCAACAACAAGGGATGCCATGCCCATATTTGGACTACGGCTCTCACATGCGAGCATAAAGAAATAGTGAATGTATAGATCGGCACCACCCCCACTTGTCTAGACCGCCCGCCGATCAATGCATGGTCCGGTCCACAAACACCAAAAGCAACACCGCAAACAGAAATCTCACTCCTCGCACCCACCCGCCGCCAAACCAAGCAAATGTAATCCTCCCAAATGTCTCTGACGGCTTCATCCTAAAAGATGCGGGCGACTCTCTCCTCCGCCGCCTCGTCCGCTGCCTCCCCCAAGCGCAAACGCGATCCAAACGCAGACCCCGCCTCTGTGGCTCCCTTCGCCCCCCGCTTAACGACTACCACTACTGCGAAATATGCTTTCACGCCTATGAGTACGCCACCGCCTGGAGCGGGTGAGAGCAGCCCCAGCAAGGCGGTCGCAGACCAATTTCGCGATTTGAATATCAAGGCGCCGATATCCGTTGGCTTTGGCGCTGGGGGCGGGTCAGGAGGGGACGGGTCAGAGGACAAGGAGGAGAGGAAGCGGGCGAAGAGGAGCGACAGCGTGAACAGCGGACGAGGGGAGCTGGACGGCTTTCGGAATATGCGGATATGTTCAGAGGTCCCAGAGACCCCGCAGCCAACGACCAAGACAACGAAAACATCCGGCGCATCAAACACGCTGGCTAATACAGCTGGGGAAGAGTATGGCGATGGTGGTACGAACGCACTTCATGTCAATCCGCTCACAAAGCCTTTTCCCGGCGCCCGTTCACGCAAGAAGTCTCCGTCCCCGCCCGTGCCGCTCGACTCTTTCTGGCAGGACACCGAAATCACGGGCCACCTGATTGGACCGGCTCAGGACCCTGATGATGACGGAACGGGAATCAATGGAGTTGGATTCAGGCCCACGCCCGCGCTGGCGTATGCAAGAGCGCAGAAGAGAAGGCAGCAGGTGCAGGCGTGGAGGGCCCGCGAGGCAAAAGAGGCACGAGCGAAGCGGAGCGAGAGAAGAACGAGAGGGGTTGGTATGGGCGTGAGGGGTGGAAGTGTAGGAGGTGGTAATGTGTCGGGTGCAGACGATACAGGAAGTGACGGCTCAAGGAGAGTCGTCAGATTTGCTTGAGGAGTTATCCGGTAGAAATGGGGCGTACAAGGTTCAGATTGGGTATGTACGGCATCATGGGTGTCTGGGTATCCGGTATGGTCATGAACATGTACGACTTTATGATTACGCCTAGTTTGAGGGGTTTGTAGGATACCATCCTTTCCCAATTGGTTATCTTGGATGCATGGAGAGCAGATTGGATGTGGTATGGCGTTGGAGTAGAATCGTCCTGTTTATCAAAACTCCATTCCAAACGTTCCTTTTGACGTACGCAGCGCCTCTATAATACACTCAGACATGTACAATGAATATTCATCATCCCCTCCGCCATTCAAGCCATGCCTTTATTTTTCACTGCCCCAAAACTTCAGATTCCGCGAGGCCCAGTACGACCACGACTTTCTCCTCTCTTCCTCTAGCTTCTCCTTGATGATTCGCTCTTCTTCTTTCCTCTTCGCAATCGCCTTGCGTCTCTTCTCCTCGTGTTCAGCCTTCTTCGCTGCGGCTACTGCTTGTACTTGTCGCAAGCCATCCCGTTCTATGGACCGCCTATATTGGCAGTAGGTGTAACCACCTGTGGAGGAAAGCATAAAGGCGCCGACGGAGACGTTGCAGGCAGTCCACACGTTTCCTAAGAAGCATACTCATTAGCCAATACCCTCCTGAAGCCCCCAAATGAAAATGGCAGGATCCCTGTCCACAATAGAAGCAATATCACTTACGCCCAACCAAGCCCATCATGCCTCCCATGACAAACCCCGACAATATCCCAGTCATCAGCGAATCTTTCGCGCATGGCATCCTCCCAATATTCTTCCAGTCCTCCCATGTAATCATCTTAACGGCTTTCGTGAGCATCGACTCGTCGTCGAGTTTCTCGCCCCCGGCGGTGTTGGCGGTCCCGCCGGGCATGGTGTTCGCGGGCGTGCGGTAGCGGGCAGCTTCTTGCGCAACATCCTCCGCCTTAGGTGGTGGATAAGTGGGGGAGCTCTGTCGAGTATCGTCTGCCATTGCCAGTGTTATGGTGGAGGCAATGGCTGTGGGCGGATTTGTGGTGGTGCTTCGGGAGTGGTGATGTCGTCTGGGCTGATCTGAAAGATTCTGGGTCCACTGAATATAATGCGGAGAGGCTAGCTAGATGGGGTAGATCCATCTTTGGATGAGCTTCTGGATGAACTGAACAATAACAGGTGCCCGCTTGATGTCCTAAGCGTAAACTGCTGTTACAATCATTCTCTGAACAAGACAGCACAATTTTTATGAGTGTTGTATACATGCATTCACGTTTTCAGAGCTGGACGCACGGTCCTTCCACTTTATTGGCCGACGCGACTTTGAACTTTCGACGCGACACCGCGTATCCCTCCGTCAAATCTACACTGCTTCAACACTCTACCAATTCTCTATACCCACCCTTTGAACTCTCTTTTTCAGCACTTCCAAAGCCTAATCACGACACCAAACACAAATGATACCCCTACAATTCTAACTTGAACACCTCCATCTCATCCACTCCCGCAGCTCCAATACACCCCTCACACCATGGCACCCCGCCGCGCTGGACAGTCTTTCCGCCGCGTAGGCAAGCAAGGCCAATCTTCCTACTCCTCGTCTTCCCGCAAACCCAAGACAATCGACGCCTCCTCTCTCCGCAACACGGAAGCCAGCTCCCTAGCTGAGAAGATCGAGTCGACGCGGCTCGCGAATGCTATCGATGAGTCTATGGACTTTGCGCGGTACGATGCCGGACGTAAGAAGGTCGGCTGGCTGTGTAACATGCACTCTACCAGTGTGGAGGACGAGAATGTACCTGGAGGGCGCGCCGGCGTGGACTTCTACTTCATCGAGGAGGACGGAGGCACATTTAAGGCGACGGTGGAGTATGATCCGTACTTCTTGGTCGCGGTGAAGAGGGGGAAAGAGCCAGAGGTGGAGGAGTGGTGTCGGAGAGCTTTTGAGGGCTTAGTGAAGGGTGTGAAGCGGGTCGAGAAGGAGGATTTGCAGATGGTGAGTCGCCGAGATGGGCATTTGGAGACACTATAAGGAGCATGCTGATACGAGACAGCCAAATCATCTTTTGGGCTACCGGAGAACATTCCTGAAGCTTTCGTTTGCGAATGTGGGAGATCTCTTGGGGGTGCGGAAGGTCATTACACCCCTGGCGGAGAAGAATAAGAAGAAGATGAACGCGATGGATACATATGCGGAAGTTGCTAGGTGAGCACTGCTCAGTCCATAGTTGGATTGTGTTAGTTGCTAATGGTTTCCAGTGCAAATGCTGGCTTTGATATTTTTGACGACGACCAAGATTACGAGAAACGACCTAATGGCATACAAGATGCGAGCGATTTCATTGTTGATATACGAGAGTACGACGTACCATACCACGTTCGGGTTGCGATTGATAAAGGTAGGTTACGTAGGCTTGGTTTCAAGGGCTGGCTAACTCATATAGATATCCGCATTGGAAAATGGTACACGGTAGAAGCGAAACACGGCGTTGTTTCATTGACATGCATAGAAGAGCGACTGCAACGCGCCGATCCCGTTGTTATGGCATTCGATATCGAGTGTACAAAGCTCCCCCTGAAATTTCCGGATGCGATAGTCGACCAGATCATGATGATTTCATACATGATCGATGGCCAGGGGTTCCTCATCACGAACCGCGAGATTGTCTCCGAGGATATCTCAGATTTCGACTATACACCCAAGCCGGAGTACGACGGTCCTTTCATAATATTCAACGAGCCGGATGAAAAAGGCCTCTTAGAACGTTTCTTCGAGCACATCAAGGAAGCAAAGCCAACGGTCATTGTAACATACAACGGAGACTTTTTTGATTGGCCATTCGTGGAGGCACGGGCGAGCGTTCTAGGAATCGACATGTACCAGGAGATCGGCTTCCGGAAGAACAGCGAAGACATCTACCAGTCTAATTACTGCGCACACATGGATGCCTTTGCGTGGGTCAATCGAGACAGTTACCTCCCACAAGGAAGTCGAGGCTTGAAAGCAGTTACTGTAGCGAAATTGGGCTACGATCCAGACGAATTGGACCCCGAACTCATGACTCCATACGCAAGCGAACGGCCTCAGACGTTGGCAGAATACTCCGTTTCAGATGCAGTTGCTACGTACTACTTGTACATGAAATACGTCCATCCCTTCATCTTCTCGCTATGTACGATCGTTCCCCTTGGGCCGGACGATGTGTTGCGAAAGGGGACTGGCACTCTTTGCGAGATGTTGCTCATGGTACAGGCGTATCAGAAGGGCATCGTACTGCCGAACAAGCACCAAGCACCTAAGGAAGCCTTCTGGGATGGCCATCTCCTGGACTCAGAAACGTATGTGGGAGGTCATGTCGAGAGTATCGAAGCAGGTGTCTTTCGAAGTGATATCCCTTGCAACTTCGTGCTAGATCCAACTGCCATTGATGAACTCATCGAAGATCTAGACGCAGCCCTCAAGTTCAGTATTGTAGTAGAAGAGAAGAAACAGGTGGAGGACATCGTAAATTATGACGAAGTCAAGGGTCAGATCATCGAGAAGCTGTTGAAGCTGAAGAATACCCCTAACAGGAGCGAAAACCCTTCAATATACCATCTAGACGTCGCCTCCATGTATCCGAATATCATGACGACGAATCGATTACAGCCGGATTCCATGATTGAAGAGGCTGATTGTGCTGCCTGCGACTTCAATCGCCCAGGCAAAACATGCGATCGAAGGATGCCTTGGTCCTGGAGAGGTGAGTTCTTGCCAGCTAAGCGAGACGAGTACAACATGATACGGCATGCCCTAGAAAACGAACGGTTTCCCCCAAAATATAAAAGTGGCCCCGTTCGGACTTTCCAGGATCTGCCAGTAGACGAACAAGCCACGATAGTCAAGAAACGATTGACGGAGTACAGCAAGAAGATCTACCACAAGATCCATGACACAAAGACAATTGAGAAAGAGGCTATCATCTGCCAGAGAGAGAATCCCTTCTACGTTGATACTGTCAAAGACTTCCGAGATCGAAGATATGACTTCAAGGGCAAGCAGAAAGTCTGGAAAGGTAAGACGGATGCGCTTAAGTCTGCTGGTGCGCCTAGCGCAGAGATCGATGAAGCCAAGAAGATGATTATCCTGTTCGACTCACTTCAGTTGGCCCACAAAGTCATCTTGAACAGCTTCTACGGCTACGTTATGAGAAAGGGTTCTCGTTGGTACTCCATGGAAATGGCCGGTGTCACTTGCTTGACTGGAGCCAAGATCATTCAAATGGCTAGACAGCTCGTAGACAGAATTGGACGGCCCCTGGAACTAGACACCGACGGTATCTGGTGTATTCTGCCCGCAACATTTCCGGAAAACTTCTCATTCAAACTCAAGAACGGCAAGAAGGTGTTTATCTCATATCCTTGTGTCATGCTGAACCATCACGTCCATGCCAAATTCACGAACCATCAATACCAGACCCTTGTCGATCCCGAAACATTTCGATACGAGACACATAGCGACAATACAATCTTCTTCGAGGTGGACGGTCCGTATAAGGCTATGATCTTGCCCACCTCCAAGGAAGAAGACAAGAATTTGAAAAAGCGTTACGCAGTCTTCAACCACGATGGCAGTCTCGCTGAGTTGAAAGGGTTCGAGGTCAAGCGGAGAGGAGAGTTGAAGCTTATCAAGATCTTCCAAACTCAAATTTTCAAATTCTTCTTGGAAGGCACAACTCTGACCGAGACTTACGGAGCTGTCGCCAAGGTTGCAAATCGATGGCTAGATGTGCTTGATCAGCATGGTTCTACCCTCGCTGATGAAGAGCTCATCGACTTGATTTGCGAAAATAAGAGCATGGCCAAGACTCTTGAGGAGTACGGAGCTCAGAAGTCAACTGCTATCACGACCGCAAAGAGACTTGCAGAGTTTCTTGGCGAGCAAATGATCAAGGACAAGGGCTTGAACTGCAAGTACATTATCTCGTCTCGGCCGAAAAATTCACCTGTTACAGAGAGAGCCATACCTGTGGCGATATTCTCTGCTGAGGATTCAGTCAAGACCTATTTCCTACGAAAATGGATGAAAGAAGACCCCGGGGATATGGATCCCAGATCGATCATTGACTGGAGCTACTACATGGAACGTCTCGGCTCCGTGGTTCAGAAGCTTATCACGATACCTGCAGCTCTTCAGAAAGTTGAAAATCCCGTTCCGCGCGTTCCTCACCCAGACTGGCTAGCCCGAAGGATTCGGATCAAGGACGATGTCTTGAAACAAAAGAAGATGACTGATCTGTTTGACAAGAAGACTCTGGTTGACGTAGACACCAATATTCTCCAGAACCGGGTGCTCGATCTGGAAGACTTTGGCGGTTCGAAGATGACTCAAGTCTCTCAGGCGGTGGCAGCGAGGAGAGGTGTAGTCACGAAAATGGTCCAGAAACGAAAGCAACCGGAACCTGCTGTACCTGCCGATCCTTTTGCGAGCTTACCCAAATACATGCCATCCATCACCGAGGACTACAACGGATGGCTGCAGTACCAGAAAAAGAAGTGGAAGATCCAGAAGCAAGCCCGAAAGCGGAGACGACAGCTCTTTGGCGAGAAACAGACAGATTCATCGGATGCGATCGGAAGCTTCTTCAGAAACCAGGCAGAGATGTTGTATATCAGCACGTGGCAATTGATTCAACTGCGAGACACCGACACGCCTGGAGAGGTTAGAGCTTTCGTCTTGATCGACAAGAAAATTCACATCTTGAGGGTCATTGTGCCTCGGCAGATATATCTTAATCTGCGAGGAGACGATTTACCTGACGTGTCTATCGATGGCTGTTCAGTAGAGAAAGTCCTTAATCACACTCTACCCAATGGACATCCATCGGTACATTTGTTCAAGCTTCTGATGCCTGAGCAAGTATATGTCAACGAGTCGAAAAAGCTCTCTGTTTTATTCAATCACCCAAGTGTTGAAGGTGTCTACGAGAAGCAAGTACCACTAAACGTTCGAGCGGTTCTCGAACTTGGTAGTATTTGCACCTTCGACGAGACTCAGAAAGGTGTTCTTGGAAAAGGTCTAGAGCAAGGATTCGACCTGTCCGCTCTCCGACGGGTGCCATCGCAAAATCCGTACTTGAGCCAGGCTTCCCTTGGATATCTCTACCTCTACCACGTCAGCTCTGGAGATCGACAGATTTTTGCCTTGTTCTCAACCTCGAAGAATACCGCCCATGTCATCATTCAAACCAAGTCCAAAGATAGTCAGGGTCTGCCGAACGTTGATCGGATATACAAGGACATGTTTGCACGGCGTTTGGAAGAGTCTGGCGGAGAGCCGTGGCAAGAGTGCTTCGATTATCAAACCGACATACATTTCCGGACCGTTCAAGTCACTACCAAACGAAAGGCGCATCTCGAGATTGGAGATGCTATCAAGAAGATGAAGACAGAGGAAGGGAAACCGTTGGTTCTCGTTATCCAATCACAGAATCACAATCTTCTGTCTCACGAGGTCCCAATTCTCAAAGACCTACCGATCCTACCCCTGAAGCCGGACGAGTCAGACAAACAACTACCTCCTCTCGGCTGGCAGTCGTTCGTTGCAAAACGTCTTGTAACCCATTACTTAGACTTGGGCTCCTGGATATCACATTTAGTAGAACTTTCTCGATATGGAGACATCCCGCTCTGCAATCTCGAAAGCAACGACCCACGTTTCCTCATCGACATTGCTTATGCGAGGCGGCTACGGAAAGAGAAGGTCGTTCTGTGGTGGTCTGGTGGTCCCAAACCTGATCATGCAGGCTATGAAAAAGACGAGATTCTCGCTCCTATGGAGACTGTTGAAATGCCTTCTATCAATAACCCTGGAACTTACTCCTCTGTCTGCATTGATCTCACCCTTCGCAATCTCGCAATCAACACCATTCTTTCTTCCTCCGTTATCAACGAAGCCGAAGGTTCCGACTCTATCTCATTCAACCCTGCCGCACCTGCTTACGATGCCCCTAATGACGGCACAAACGTCATCTACGCCGACAACGCTTTTGCCACAGCCGGCATCATGGTCCTTCGCGAAATGGTGAAGGCCTGGTGGCACGAAGCTGAGCGAGGAGGGTACATGGCCGACGTAATGGTCCAGCATCTTGTGCGATGGGTGGAGAGCCCTGGGTCTTTTTTATACGACAGAAGCCTACATTACTACGTACAGATGATGAGCCGAAAAGCACTACAGCAACTGATGACGGACTTCCGGCGCGTGGGATCGCATATCGTGTTCGCGAGTGCGAATCGACTGCTTCTGCAAACGACGAAAGCAGAGGTCGGAAATGCCTTTGCGTATAGTCAGTACATCCTCAAGACGGTACAGGCGAAGCCGCTCTTCCAGTTTCTAGACCTCGAGATCCGGGAGTACTGGGACTACTTGGCGTGGTACGATGAGTTCAACTACGGAGGTAAAGGCTGTACTAAGGTCGTCGAAGCGGACGAGCAGCAGCTTGATACCATCATGTGCTGGCAGCTCGCATCCTTTTTGCCTGCGCCGCTACAACCGGCGTTCCACGATACAGTGGTCGACTTCATCGATGTCATGCACGGCCGCAAACGTCCCGCAGCCATCGATGGTGTCGCTCCCAGGGCGACGCAATTAGCCCTGAGGTCACTAACTGTCGACCCAACCGACAACACCCAAGTCCTCCCCAAATCCTTCACAAAACCGCTCTTCAAGCAAGTCGGCGCTCTCCTACGCCGTCAACACACCGAGTCCCTCCACGCCGAACTCGTCTCGGACTGGGTCTTCCCCTCCCTCCCAGGCTCGCATCTCAACCTCTCAAACCCAGTCCTTCAACTCGTGAAAAGCATAACGCAGGTCCTCAGCCTCGACAACACCATCACGCTCGAAGCCCGCCTCCTCCGCAAAGAGCTCCTCCAGCTCTTCGAAATCCGCGAATTCAGCCGCGAAGCCGCTTTTGTGAATCCCAGTCGCAGCCTCTGGGTCCGCGGTCTCGTCTGCGAAGAATGCACGGCTGTCCGCGACCTCGACCTCTGTCGCGCGGCGGAATTGCTGCCGCCTCCTGCAGCGAATAGAGAGGCGGATGCTGCGGCGCCGGTGCTACCGAAGTGGAAGTGTGAGATGTGCAATACGCCGTATGATCGCTTGCGTATTGAGGAGCGGCTGGTGGCGGAGGTGCAGAAGATGGTTGTGGAGTGGTGTACGCAGGATCTAAAGTGTGGAAAGTGTGGGAGGCTGAGGGCGAATGAGTTTATGGAGCATTGTGCTTGTGCTGGGGAGTGGGTAGGGACGCGGAAGAGGGAGGATGTTAAGAGTCGCTTGGGGGTTTATGGGAGTGTGGCGGGCTTTTTTGGGTTGGGGATGTTGGCGAGTGTGGTTGAGGAGTGTGTGGATGGGGTGTAGTCAGTAAGTGGAGTGAGGCAGTGGAGATCAGGCTGTCTATTGACTGCTGGGCTACTTGCCGTCTGGGGTACTCCTTACAGTGGCATCAGGCGAGCAATACTGCAGCTCGTGTAGAGTAATATCTGTGTGCTGAAAATTGTAGCATATATACATGATCTCAAGGTCGTGCAGTGGGAGTTAGACTGCCTCTTGCCTTGCTAGCTAAGTGCTGGCTGGGCTACTCCCTACAGTGGTATCAAGCAAGCAACACTGGAGCTCATGTAGAGCAATATCTGTGTACTGAAAATTGTAGCATCTATACATGATGTTAAGGTTAGTACAGTGGAAGTTAGACTGCCTCTTGACCAGCCAGCTAAATGCTGGTCGGGCTACTCCCTACAGTGGTATCAAGCAAGCAATATTGGAGCCTGTGCATAGGCATATCTATGTACGGAAATTAATAGCATCTACACATAATGTCGAGGTTGATACAGTGGAACTTAAACTGCCTCTTGACTGGCGAGCTAAGTGCTGGGCGGGCTACTCCCTACAGTGGTATCATGCAAGCAAGATTGGAGCCTACGCACAGCTATATCCGTGTACAGAAGCTAATAGCATCTGCATACAATGTCCAGGTTGATGTAATGGATTTCAGACTACCTCTTGACTGCCCCGCTAACTTCTAGCTGGGCTACTCCTCACAGTGGCGTCGAGCGAGCAAGAGTAGAGCCTGCAAAGAGTCATATCTGTGTCCTGAAGCTTATAGCATCTTTATACAATGTTGAGGTTAATGCGGTGGAAGTTAGACTACCTCTTGACTTGCCTACGAACTGCCAGCTGGGCTACTCCTTACAGTGGCGTCGAGCGAGCAAAAGTGGAGCACTGAAGCTTATAGCATCTTCATATAATATCAAGGTTGATGCGGTGGAAGTTAGGCTACCTCTTGACTTGCCTGCGAACTGCTAGCTGGGCTACTCCTCATAGTGGTGTCGAGCGAGCAACAGTAGAGCTTGAGCAGTGGCATACCGTGTACGTTAAATTATGACCTGTAATGCTGTACCAAAGGTTTGCGTACACTTCGTGGCCGCGGCGTGAGGACGTCCTGTACACTCATAAACGCGAAGAAAGTAGACTGTTCCTTTTTCTGAGTATTAGCGGATGACACCGTCTGAGGTGGCCCGGCGAGTTTGCAGACTGTTCAAAACGACTCACTTACGCCTAGTTCGCATTCTCGAAAATGTATCAGGGGACTTCAGACAGTGGCACCCACGTGTACGCAGACTTATTGCAGATTGAATTTGTCCTTTTTTGTATTATTCTCGAGCCTCTTTGATAATTTCAGGGTCTCGATGATCAGTTCCGTGTGACTTTATGAACCCCAGACACCATGTGAATCCATTCCACAGCCGCATCACAGCCGTATATCTCTCAGCAGTACGAGCCCACCCCTCAGAAGCCAACCCCTCAGAAGCCACGCCCTCCACCGCGTCCACGTCCCCGGCCACCTCCGCCACCGCGACCACCCCTTCCTCCCCTAGGACCACCGCGTCCGCCTCGTCCGCCCCTGTCCGCAGCTTCCTTTCGCGCCTTGTTCTTCGGTTTGGGTTGGTCGTCAATAAGCAGCGTATCGAGTGGGAGACTATCAGGTAGGATGAAATAGCGGATAGTGGAGCCGCGCAGGTTGATGGTATCGAGCGAGACAGGGTCGCGGCCTTTCTGGGTCATTTTGACTGTTCGGAGAGCGGTGTTCATTTGGGGGGAGACGGAGGCGATAGTGCCGTAGATGACAGTGCCTATTAACGCGGTCAGTTGCGCCGATACATCCTAAAACATTTGGCTGGAAAGGTTTGCTAGATATTAGTACTATGCCGCCATGCGACGGGCCTCGAGGTTGCGGCCGACGCTAGAAGTAAAGGGTCTAGGAAAGAAGTGAGCAGAAAACAGAACAGAGCCAATGTACCATTCTTCAGTTCGATGGTGACCGTCTCATTTGCGCACTTCATCAGGAATCTAAGCACCAGAGTCGTCAGTCACAATTCGTAGGTCGGCGGGGGAAGCCTGGGGTAGAAAGCTCAGCTTGGGCGCCGCCTGTAGAACAGCAGAGTGGGTTACTTGCCGTACGAGCTTCATGTTGACCTCTGCTTCTCGCCGAAGCTTTCTCTTCCTCGTGAGTGGTATTTTGGTTATGCGATGGAGGTGAGGGCGGTGTGAGGTGGAGGGGAGCTTGCGCGCCGAAAGTCGCGGTGATTTTGAAGTTGGCGGGTCGTGTGGTATTTTATCCGTTTTGGGCTTGGCGTCGTGAGTCATCAATATATTACAGCCGTCACCACACTCCGCGATACTCGATGCAAAACAATATGCAACTGGCCAGGTACCCTGGGCATGGGAAAAGTGGCATACTCATCAAGTACACTGCCCGTGTGTACACCTGTTTATCACTGCATGAAGTACTTCAACAAATTTCCACATAGAAGTGGCGACCGGCTCGTGCACGCTACTACCTTGTGCACGTTTTCTCTAACCCATTAAAATTAGATTATACAGCAACGCTCTTATATAATATACTTATAAATAAGCTTATATTATACTTTTTATAGTATATATAGCTTATATTTTATAGTTTATAGCTTATATTTTCTTTAATTACTTATAACGTATTCCACCACCGAGCCGGCCAAACCACCGAGCCGGCCACTTTTCCTTGGCACAACCAACACCATGTGCGCGCAGTCAATTTATTCGCAACTAGCTATAGAACTTGTGTACGACACACTTAGATCAGATTCAGAAGAAGCTTTTTAATCCTTTTTGCACGTACGCGCATTGTGCCCAGCCTCTCCACAGTTTCCACAGCGCCGTTGAGCTAGTAGAGCCCTATTTGCACCATCTCTACTACCCACCTTTTTCCGTGGATTAGATGCTCCAGACACTTTAGCAGCTATGTACAACGCTGCTGTACCATACTCTATTATACCGCCAGTCTGGATTCGCTTTCTTTTACAACCTTTACGCTTGGTTATCTCTGCTAGTTACTCTTTAAGCTTTTTAACCCGGGCTTTAATAAGCATATTTTTATATAGCATTTCTTTAGCTCCTTTAATAAGCTTTAAGAAGCCTTTTTAGGCGGTTATTAGTAACTATATAAAGGAATTGCTTACTAGCCTTAACTATA